TTTACAAATTTCTAAAACGCTTAGCCCAGTCTTAAGAAGTTCATAACATTTAAAAGAAGCTGCGCTAAAACTAATAAGTAGTAAGTTGATTTCAATGGGAAACATAACCTTGAAATTTATTTCAATTTCAGCTAGTGCTTACGGCTTACACCTATTTTGAGAATTGGGTTGCAATGTTTTCATTTGCAAATTGATTTATCATATTAATTCCATTACATATAAGAATGATAACAAGTTTGTTTGGATATCTACTTCTCGTTGGCTGTCGATTACGAGGAGAGCAGCAAGAGGGCCGATGATTGCTCCGTGCAAATCTACAATTTGGTGTATGCAGTGTCGTTTGATTATTATGGTCTTACTACACGGAAGTAACTGATGTCGGAAATTTTCATCATAGATATGAGCATAGATATCGACAAGAAACCGTTTTCATATGCGTACACCTCCTTTTCGGAAACTGTCATCTTCAGAGAAATATACTTGCTTGTAGATATATAATTTATGGAATAATGTATACAGTTTAATGTTAACAATGGCAGAAATAATAATAATTACAAATCATATAGTGTCGTTACTCTTCATCCGTTTAGTGTTGTGTTTTTTGACTGCGTTAATTTACATGCGTAACCATTTGTTGGCATTCCTGGCATCGAGTGTGGAAGTAGGTAAACTTCAATTTCCTATACTTTCAATTAGCTCTCTGTTTTTTGCCATAAACCGTAAGTTTACCATCGGTAAACATGTACAAGTATCATAACCGCACTAAACGAAAACTTGTAAGTGAAACTTACAATTCTTGATTAGGGTACTTACCTACCGCATTTACATATACGTATTACTATGTTACCTACCAAGCCATAAAGTGCTTAAAATGGAATTTGCACAAAAAATATGCCTATCATTCTAACAATTTAATTTAAATTTAGAACTGTCTGCAAATTAAATCAGTTCCACCAACCAATTTTTAGTGATATTTTTGCCGGCCTAGGCCAGCAAATCATAACTTTCTGGACTAATTTGGCTACAAAAAACAAAGCTTTGAAGCAGGGAGACACAAAAACAATATATCAACCGTTAAGACGCAAGTGTTCGTTTCAATTTATTGGCGCATAACAATTCAGTATTTAGATTAGGTGCGTCAGTGTTGAATATTTGTATTGGCTGCTTACATAACGGTACATTTTAATGGTAGCCTTAAACTATGGATTAGGTGACATGTTTGTTGTAAAAAATGTTCATTACCTAATTACCCTTAGTTGGCAGAGTCACGCAATGTGTATTCTTTTTGGTAAACTTTGCAAGCACTTAAATTGATTATTTGGTTCATTATGCCCGAATGAAAATAAATTTCGTTAACTGTTTAAATCACGTGTATTTTATTATTAACTAATTAATAGTCTGGACTGTATGGAACGCCACAACAATGAAGTACACACATTTATTTTATCCTGAAAAATAAACAAGAATAAATTGTGCACAATTATTGTGCAGATAAAGCGCATTTTTTTAACCGAAATAGCTTTTGTTTTGACATCACCAATGGATAGATTGCAGACGTCTCAATCGCCCTTTGTGAGTACCCTCTTCCGACAATCCGTTCTAGTTCCATAAGAGAATATCCCCCATCACGATAAGAGGTCGATGAGGAGGGCTACGGTTGGTAGAAATTAATTCCTTTCGTTGAGACCTTTCATTAGAGTACCATGAAGGATAAAACTAGTTCCACTCCCCCTCCCCTCCCACACCACCCCGTACTTTGATAAGAGGACGTAAAGAAGGGTAGTAGTTGGTAAAAAACGGTTCCTTTCGTGGAGACCTTAAATTAGAATACAATGAGAGATCAAATTAATTTTTAACCCCCCCCCCTCCCCCTCAGGACCCGCCGCTCACTGGTCTCGAAAAAGAGTCGCACGAGAAAGTTATGGTCTCGAAAAAGAGTCGCACGAGAAAGTTATAGTTTGTACAAACCAATTTATTTCGATGAGACCTTTCATTAGAATACCATGAAGGGTAGAACATGTGTTTACCCCCCCCCCCCCCCCACATTTTTTAACGTTTAACAAAATCTGAAGGTTGTCCGTATGTAGAAGTTATGTTGTTACGTTTTACTTTCAAAAACAGCACATCAGGAAATAATTCGTGGTGGGGGGGGGGGGGGCTTTTAGGAAGCGAAATTTGATGGCACACCTTAAAGGTATAAGCTACCTACTGCAAAAAAATTCCAGGACTAGGACCATTCCCCTAGAAGTAGTTCGAAACGGCAGAAGTGGGTCCGGACGGACGGACGGGCGGACAAAAGACAAACAATAGCAGATATTTTTTAATTCTTAAAAAATGCGCTAAAAATGATTGAGACTTCAATTTTTCATCTATTAAAAATTCAAATGATATGCAAATCAACTACTGTTTGTTAACATGTAGAAAAAAATTTTTAAAACCCACTCGTGGATGTTACCGCGTAACACAACCCTACGAGGCATATCCCGAACATGTTGATTACGAGCATTTACGCCGCCACATTCTTTTTGACGATTTGACGATACAGGAAGTGTTGCTTGAGGAAAATTCCCTAGTCACCTAACAGTTGCTAACGAGGCGGTAGTAGAAGATGTGCGTGCTCGTCTTGTATAAAGCCCGCAAAAACTACTTCGATAGCTATCCCAACAAACTGGTTTGTCATACGGAACCTGTCAAAACATAACGATGAAAAAATTGCATTTCTTCTAATGTAACCGTGCTACAAGAACTTTGTAAAACATGTGAATTATTACGATTGGATTAATGAATCTCTACAAGAGAACAAATTGTTAGAAAAAAGTTATTTCTCGGTTGAGGCTTGGTTTCAAATTAGTGGATACGTTAATTCAAAAAATTACCGGACTTGGAGTCCTGAAAACCCACATGTTTTATCAAGAAGCTACCTGAAGGTAGGCGTGTGATTAGCGATGTCGAAAAGGCGATTTGTGGGGCCGATATTCTTTGACAATACTGTTAATGCCGAACGTTACCGGACAATGTTACATGTGTTTATTGATCAGCTTCACGACGACGAATTGCAAGGTTTATTTCATGATAATCCAACAACACATACAGCTGGTGAAACAATAAAACTCTTACAACAGTATTTTGATGGTGTTTGAAGAAACCGTTGACCGTCAAGATCACCTCTGATCTAACGCCGTTGGATTATTTGATCATCTAAAAAACGTTATTTATAGAAATCGTTTACACGCCATTGAAGAATTACGTGCAGCTATAGAAGCGACTGTTCTTTACATAACACAACAGTAACTTCATGCAGTTCTCGCAAACATGAAAAAGAGAGTGGATTTGTTAGATTTGTAGAAGAAAGTAAATCACGCTTCAGTTACAAAATAATGTTTGATATGTAATTTCAAATAATCTGGACACTAATAAATGTTGTTTACATGATTGCTTTTGATAAACCTAGGTTATGTTTAGTATAGCTACAGTGTCGGTTGTGTTGCGACTGCGGCAAATGTCATGTTTCATAACATTGGTACAGGTAATGATTAATGATCGCTCTGTACAAAAATCGTAAATTTTTAACTGCATAGCTAACTAAACTCTCCTACGACCACCTAATATGATAAAATCTACAAAATCTGAAAACTCATCATATCATATGATATAGAGCATCGGAGCATTCTCTCAACTTCTGAAAAAGATGCAAATCTTCCTCCAAAGAAGCCTTGCACTATCGCCGATCTTAAGGTGACTAATATAGATTATTACTACTGTGCAAAGATCGCCCACTAAACATTCATTCGCAAATATAATGAAGGCTTATGGTTTGTTTGTGTCTCGTTTATGATGTGTACTTGCAAATGTATGTACAATCGTTACAAATTTTAAACATATAAATTACTTCTCCCTTAATTTTTGTGGCAGTAACGCTAATTAAATTACAAATGATTTACATATGGTAATAACAATTCATCAGTGTAATATTATAGGTACTATAGGTAATTGTTTTAGTTGGAATTAATTTATTACGATATAAAGTTTCCCTTTACGCATGTTACATTTTGTTAATTATCAGCATAGCAAATAATAAATATTGGCATAGGAAATTAGTTTCTTGCACATGCGAGTACTAGCGCGATTCTTTATTTTCCGTAGATTGCATTGTTGTTGAGACGTATTAGCATAGTGTAAGAATAAATACACCGAAGATACACTATGCTAACGGCAAATGCTGTTGTTTTCAATTTCTAAATTTCTACTGTTTCTGAATTTATAAAATAAGAAACACTACTCACTAGTATGTACCGAGGTAGGTATATGTACGGATTCGTAATTTTTTTCTCTACAAAAGACCTAAATAGACAAAAATAATTAGCGGAGCCAATAATCGGAAATTAAAAAATTACTATTAAAATTCCTGTGGTGTTTTCGTCAAGTCACCACCCCGTATGTTACTATTTAAAAAAATTCAAGATGGTGGTCGCACTCAAAAACTATGTGGCAAAAAAAATTTTTTAACCTCAAAATATATCTCAAACGGTTCGAGATTGAGATATTTGGTTCCATCTCTAGTAGCAACCCTAATACCCTACAATATTAAGAAATCTCAATTTTTTCATAATCTGCAATCAAGTGGTCTCAAGCAGAAGCATTTTCAAGTAAAAGAAAAGAATAGAGAAAAGAGAATCTACCAAACAACTATATAACAATTTATTCCTAAAACTCATTTAAAATGCCTTTCAGTCAACAGGTAAGGGCATCACACCTACATTTTGTCCCCCGAGAAGACTATTTGCACTACAAAGCGATAATGTGATGCAATGACGTTTTTTTCTCATTCCAATAATTAGAATCTGTCTAAAAGTTTACATGCATTTGTCATTGGATTCATTACGTAAAGTGGATTGTCGTGTCATAACCAAAAAAGCGTAGACTGTAGAATTAAATTCGCATAATGGATCGAGATGTATAATAAACTCTTAACAGAATTAACGCATACCATTATAACTTACCCAAACGTCCACCATATATCAAAACACATCACGTTCGACCACATGAATGCAGCATGGAATGTGTACATTGTAATATATCCTGCAACCAAATGCACACAGTGAGATTAGCAAAAAAGAAGAAAGAAATTAGAATTAAAGAAACATTGTTGTGATTTATAACAAAGCATATTCAAATACTTGCAATTAGTAGAATATTAATTGTTATCAAATTAGCATCTGTTTGTGTTTGCGAGTGTCTAACTATTGATTTTTTTAAACTACAATAGACTAGATTTTTTCCGAGATTTTTTCTTTATTTTTAAAAGAGAGGCGGGGGCCGCCACTGAACCCGAATTTGAACCAGGGATCCTCATTCCTCAGTCCCGCAGTCGGATTTCCACTCCACTACACCTTTTTAGCGTATTTTCCTCAAAGTGAAAAATCGCTATTGGCTGCACTTTGACGTCCGTCCGTCCGTCTGTCCGCCACACGTACTCCTTCTAAACCACTGAACCGATTTTAGCGATTAAGGACTCATTTGAAAGGGCTTGGTCCAAGGATTCCGTGCATATTTTTTGGTTTTGCGCATGCGCAGTGTCAAATATTTGGTTTAACGTATGTGCGATGCTAACTTTTTTATTTATGAAGATATTTAAATGAAACTTTAAATATACGCATGCGCACTGCCAACTTTCTTCTTTATGAAAGCATTTAAATGAAATTTTACACATAGGCACTTGGAATACAAGCAAATCTAACAACAGTTTTAAAATTTGGTTTTGCGCATGCGCAATGGCAACTTTGTTATTTATGAAAGCAGTTAAACGAAATATCATATGTGCGCACCTTGAATGAAACTAAAACTAATACCGGTTTCAAAATTACAGTTGACGCATGCTGTATGTTTTATTTATGAAGGTATTGAATGAAATTTCTAATATAGACAATCCTAGCATGAATATTATTAGGAGGAAAATACGCTCTCGTCATTTATGTTTGCATAATGACTTTTTAAACTTGTTACATTGGCCGTCGGTCGTTGCAGCACTATATACTAATCTCTAAAGGTTTCTCGAAAGCTCTATGAAGTGAAGAGGAATTTGTCTATAGCAAAATCTCTAGAAATTGATGGATACAAATATGTGGTACATAAATAGCTCGCATTAAAATATATAAACATTTCTCTCAGCTACCAAAAACATTAAGATTATTGTGGTTGTATTGAAAAGCTTGTAAAACATCTATCACCATAATTCCTTGGTGTTTAATTTGAGAAAACTTCCTTCTTTTTCCACTCGACGATAAATCGTTTACTGATTCTATTAACATAAACAAAATTAATCTACCGTACAATTTAGAGGAAACTTAACAGACAATTTAATACATTTACGTTTCTATCAATTTTAAAAGACTCCAAGCACTGTTGCTAATACATGCATCGATTCCATACATTTCACACTTTTACGATATGACATTCTGGCGCTTTTCCAAAATCATTTGTACCAATTCAATGAAGCCGTCCTTGATACTCTTTCAAATCTAAATGCACTTATTAAAGAAAAGAAAGTATATATATTTACATCAAAAGATTAGGAACTGAAACCTCATTGACCTCCTTATTAAATTTAGAACCTTATTGTAAACAACAGATTTCCGCGATTCTCTATAAGCAAACATAATTTTATTCCTATGAATATACCTCGCATATATATGTACTACAGGGTTAAATAACTATTTAAAAATAATACGTATTATCACTATTCTTATTGCACAGCAATGGCAGAACAAAGGTTCCCCAAAACCAAATGATTTATTATTATAGGTACCTATTTTTAAATGCACATGCATTTTTTTCCAAAATGTATCGTTCGGTAACTATGCTCCCAACAGTCCCAAAAATTTCGGTTCTTTAATTCTTTCTCATGAACCATATCCGGTGGAAGGACCTTGATATCGCAAACCCCACCTTGCGACTTGAATTTTCATATTCAAAATTCACATAGGTATATGAATTAAATTCGACATAAAATTAAAATTATTATATAATATATACCTATAATATAATAATTAAAATTAAATAAAACGTACGCATTTAAATGACTTAGGCTATCGGACCTCAATTACGCGTTCGTTCTCTTTTTCCAAAGCCGAAATTTGCAAAGAAACAGCAGTTGCGGTTTTTTTATTGACTAAAAAGGCACGCCCGACGCAGTTTCGGTGGTTCCATTTTCAATTTTATATAAATAGCTAAACGCACCATGGCCAGGAGGGACGCTTGTTGTTAGTGAAAGTGTGCCCTCCATGTTGGCAAATTTAATAGATGCGAAGAGATAAGGAGTGTCTTTGTAATTGTATTTTGGAATGCAATTGGGTTTTCAGAAATGGTGGTCCCTCGTGTTAGTCTGCCCATTTAATTGCAATTGCGTTTAAAAAAGATGATTAGAAGTTTCTTGTCCAAACTGGTGGTCATGTGGATTGAAAATGTTTCATAACAAAAATCCAAAGTGGTGCTATTTGGAAAGTGGTTTTGCAGGCTTGTGTTTAGATATTTAGAGACAAATAAAGAAATAAGAGAAAAATTAGTAAATCAAGGTAAAATTTATATATTCCCAATGGAAATATGCAACATTCAAGACGTCGCGTCGTGTCTATAACAAGATGCTATAAGTGCCAAAGTTTTCGTCACACTTCTAAGCACTGCAAGGAGGAAGTTGGCACTTGCGGAAAATGTGGAATTAAAAGCCACGATTATAAAAATTGCAAGAAGGAAATTCGCCCTAGCACACTATGCATAAACAAAGTTATAAAATAACCAAAGTAAATTATTACAATTCTTGCAATTAAATTTACATTCTATATAAATTTATCCACGCGTGTGAATCTAGATGTATTCTGCCAGGATATCTCTCAGCGTACTCTTGTGACGCCAACAAACAATTCCGGTAAACAATCTCCAAGAATAAACACTATATCAACCAATTCTGCTTGAGTTTGGAACATTTTCGCAACGCTGATTAAAAAACAATCATACACTGCCGACACTCATGATATTACAACTTAACAGTAGTAAGTATCATGGCCGACACTATACTGCTAATTGAGAGAATTGAACATCTTTTGTTTCATCATGGCACACTTGGGTTCGGAAAAGAACGTTCCGTCTAAAAAAATGCAAGTTTGATGCGCCACTGGAATACAGCACGCCCCTGGTAAAATATTTTAGAAACATGCCGGCGGTAATTGCGTATACAATTTTGCTCTAAGACTTTTTTCGGTATCTTCGCAATCTTAAAGAATTTCTAAATAAAATTATAATGAATAAAGAAATGAATAGGGGTTGTAGATGCTACACCCTGTATATGGCAAAACGAATGGCAAGTATCAACTATAGAGAGAGAAACATATAATTATATATCCAACATTCTAGAAAGAATAAAATTGAAATTTTGGCTTCCAATCAGAACGGAGGGACCACACAAATTATTACAAATCAATGACTCTTTAAATGTTGTTCGTATAAAATTTGTAAAAGCGACTCAACTATAGTATATTCGCTGTAGCTTTGCCGGTTTGTAATTAGGAATTCCCACTGTATGGTTCAAATCTCATCTTCAATGGTTAATAGCCTTGATTACTCGTGAATTGCGCGGAGCGTTCAAAAATGTCCAATGATATACATAAGTTAGAAAAAGGCAAGAACGTGTCTTCAAAAATTAAGCGCTAACGACATACCGGCAAAGCTACAGCGAATATACTATACCTCTGATGTCGCCTATGATTGTGGAATGAGAATAGGCAATGGAGAGCATCTTTTTTATACATGCGAAAATTTCAAAATTGAAAAAGAAGAATTTAGACAACTTGTGGAATCAAAAGCAGTAGTTACATGGCCACTACAGAAACAAGTTGTAAATCAACATATACAATTATGCATGATGAAAGCGCATTTTTGGTAATGCTGATCAGTATTTCATTAGCAAAGTTTAAAATTATCGATCTCACAAGTAATCTAACTTAATATCGAGCTTAATATAGACTAGAGCCTGCACATCTACAGTACATCAGAAAACTTTTAGTAAAAATTTAAAGTCTCTAGCTATTGTAATTGCTGAGATCTCAGTCGGACAGCCAGCCAGCCAGCCGTAACGAATATAATAGCGTATTTTTTTTCAAAAATGCGCTAATTATTAACTTGTTATACTGATAGCTCTATCTAACGGTAAACTTATAGCACCTCCGAAAACCCTATCGAAATTATTTTCTTAGATTATCGATCTCACAAGTAATCTAACTCAAAATAATCCTGCACATCTACACTACATCAGCTTTTAGTAAAAATTTAAAGTCTCTAGCTATTGTAATTGCTGAGATCTCAGCCGGACAGCCAGCCAGCCAGCCGTAACGAATATAATAGCGTATTTTTTTTCAAAAATGCGCTAATTATTAACTTGTTATACTGATAGCTCTATCTAACGGTAAAATTATAGCACCTCTGAAAACCCTATCGAAATTATTTTCTTAGATTATAGATCTCACAAGTAATCTAACTCAAAATAGACTAGAGCCTGCACATCTACAGTACATCAGAAAACGTTTAGTAAAAATTTAAAGTCTCTAGCTATTGTAATTGCTGAGATCTCAGCCGGACAGCCAGCCGGACAGCCATAACGAATATAATAGCGTATTTTTTTTCAAAAATGCGCTAATTATTAACTTGTTATACTGATAGCTCTATCTAACGGTAAACTTATAGCACCTCCGAAAACCCTATCGAAATTATTTTCTTAAATTATCGATCTCACAAGTAATCTAACTCAAAATAGACTAGAGCTTGCACATCTACAGTACATCAGAAAACTTTTAGTAAAAATTTAAAGTCTCTAGCTATTGTAATTGCTGAGATCTCAGCCGGACAGCCAGCCAGCCAGCCATAACGAATATAATAGCGTATTTTTTTTCAAAAATGCGCTAAAAATCAAATGTTTGTAATGTTTTCGACAACTTTTGTGACAAAATACAAAAATTCAAATTGAAAATAAGCTTTAGGAAAAGACAATTCACGCTAGATTTACAGGGACCTCCACGAGGTTAGGAACGGGCAACGAAGTCTAGGTAATCCTTAACGTTTATGGGAAATAACGATACTCAACAGTTACTCCTGTAAAACCTAAATTAAAAAAGGTTTTCGCCTTAAGGCGTGTAACTTTAGCTCATTTTCCATGAATTGATCAGTACTTCCCGAAACGTCATGTAATAACGGACTATGTAACAGATATCATTGCGCAGTGTACACGTCTGATGCGCAATTTGATTTTTAGAATATGCAATATGCCTGTCTTTACTAGAAGCATCACTGTGGTTAAACTTTCAAAGAAATATTTCCTTAAATAAGACAGTTGACATTGCGCATTTGGCGAATGCGCACGTCAGATTTTTACAATGTGCGATTATGCTTGACTTTACTAGAAGCATCTGTGATTAAAATTTCGAAAATATCTCTATAAATAAGAAAGTTGACATTGCGCAGACTGCGCATGCCTCGGCGCATGCGCACATTAATCGTCAAGATTTTTCTTGGTTGAGGTACCAGAGCTATTGGCTACCGAATGCAAAAAGAACGAACTCAATATCTTGAAAACTGTAGAACTAGTTAAGGCCTCCGACGGACGGACAGACGGACAAAGAAAGTGGCCATAATAGCGCATAACAATCAAACAAAAATTATGCAAGTTTCTTCCCCAAAAATAGATATTATGATCCTCGTTCCGATATCTTGGTGTTTCGGTACAAAACCGGTTCTACTGAGGGGGCCATTGTAACGATCAAGTGACTTGACAGTGTGGACAAGCGACGACATTAGGAGAAATTCTCGGAGAAATTCTAATTTGTTCGTTTTATAATAAAGTCCTGTTTTATCAAGATTATGTTAATATTTCTTTTTGCAATTTATTTAATAATAATTTATAAGTAGTCGAAGGCGGAAATTTTTTAATTTTCGGGTTAGAAACAAATATGTAAGTCCATTTTTTACTAGGGAAATTGTTTCAGGTATCTTAATAAATTTGACCTAGCCGTCGATACATTTTTGACCAAAAATTAACATTACCGCAAACAGTTAAAATCGAGATTAAATTTAAATATTACGATCAGGAATTTCCCCGCCCCTGTTACCGCCCTAGCTAAAACCGCTGGTTCCATCTTTCTATCTGTGGTGGTTCCTGATAAAAAAATTAAAGAGATAAGTATGCGCAAATTTTAAGATGTTTACGCTCCCAACCGATACAATTTAAACCTTGAACTTATTGTGAAAAAAATGCTTGCTTTGGTTCTCTCTACCACCCAACTTTTTTGGTATACGCCCCATAACATTTTGAATTTTGTAAAAAAAAATCGCGTCCCTGCATATTCTTTTAGCGTCATTTATTGAAATAATTTGACATTTTGTTTTATTACGATATTTCTTATTTTATCACACCGTACCTACATTAGAAATGATTTCATAATATTGTCTTCTGTCTGCCACATGCTACTGGGAATAGGATGTGTCATTATATTTAACGCTTTCTTATTAGTAATCTGGAGGATTTGACGCATCGAAAGTAATGCAATAGTTTGTAGGCATACAAGAGAGGTTTAAAGTGCAGATAAAAACATAAAACTGTACAGGAATTATGATAAATAATTCCAGTAATCCTTTGTAAGGTAATCATAGTTCCTCACTCACCGAAGCGTTTCAGATTTTAAACTTTTTTTGAAATACCTACGGTAAACAAAGAACAAATAATAATTTCAAGGCAAACAACTGTACGATTGGAGTTCAAGTTCATACTGTGTGTAACCAGTTACATAACTTTTCGACAACTATCAACTGCACAATTTCATTGTCCAATTCACAATTGAAATTAATTGAAACTTACCCATTGTTTTGCAGTAAGCACCTTCATGTTTGGGGAAAAATTGAAGTACAGCTAGTATAATAAATGCAACCAATAAACTACCGCAGTGGCACATTAAAGTCTTTCCGTGCAGATTTTGCATTTCGGGCAAACAAATATATCCCACCAACGTCAAAATAAGGAATACACACGAAAACACTAAGAATATCCTGTATATTTGAAATTTAATGGCTTCGTTTGTGTCTTCCTTAAAGCATAAAAACAGCCGCCTGCCTTTTGTTGCTCCAATATCAACTTCTTCAAAACAATACTGATTCTCGATGCCCGGATGCTGTTCAATTTCGTCGTCCAAATACAAATTGAGAAATCCCATACGGTCGAGGGTATAATTCCAGTCGACATCGACAATGTAGTGAGTGCAATTATGTCCTTGCACAATTGCAAACGGCTCTAAAATTCACAAAACTAAAACCACTGTAAACTAAATGTAAGAAAATTACCATATGGACTGATCACTTTAGAATCGTTGAATAAATTCATCCCCGTACTAAAATCGAATCGACATTTGGATCCTTCCTTGTAATAATAACCATCGTCACAACATTTTGCTATACAACCAACTCCAGTACCATTTTCTTGTTTTTTACACACGCTAAAGTCCTCGCATCCCCGAACAATGAAGGTATCTCCACCAAAGACCTTGTCGATGCAGTAATTGTTGAGGTTCTTGTTGTGATTCTCTAGCGTGACACTGCCATCACTTTGATAAAGAATGTCATCAAATGACGGAACCTCGTAATCCGCCAAAACCGACTTACAGTGCGACATCCCAATATTCAAATAAATAAGGTGCTTATCCAAATAGTCATACAGAATATCTTCAACTAGGCTTGTATCTGTCCCATTTTCTAGTAAAACGCACCCGTGAGTCATCGCATCGTACGCCTTATCCACGGGGCAGCATTTCGAAAATTGCCTCAAACGCAAAAAGTTCATTTCGAACGTTTCGGCATTCACCATAGCCACCCTCCGTTCCGCGGGGTACTCCCCGATAAAATTGTCTATGCAAGATACACGTTCGGATAGACCCCAAGGAAATGATGAGAGTGTTTCGTTAATTAGAATGTGCGAGGTGCGATTCACGTCGAACGTACACTGATAGGGTAAACTCGGATTGTTTCCATTGGGGTCCAACGCTAAAGCTTCACCTTCGGAACAGCACTTTGGAACTTGATTTTTGTAAACTAATTGCTCGATAAAAGCATTGGAATAGTGGAGGTAAGTTACACACACCGCAATCACGTGTAAGCGCAACATCGCACAATTCCAACACTTATCTCCACCGCATCTAAATTTGAACTGCCGCTCCGCAACTTGAGGTATACTGTTTGAAATAAAGCGCGCCGACTTTGAGAAGGGGTAAACTACATAATATCAAATTGGTAAAGAACAGCGAGTTTGCAAAAGAAGTAGACAAACAACCCTAATTCCGTACGCGTTATGTTAGATTGATAAATAACAGAACCGGAATTTCATCCCTAGAAGTTTTTTTTAGTTTTCAAATTTATTTATCTAGAGCATCTTATGCACTTCGTATAACGAAACGTTGTTTTGTTTGACTTATTTCCCATCACATTCGTTTGCGGTCAAAAGTAAAAGAATGTAAAAATGGATTTAGAATAACATGCAAACATAAAAGATCAGATCAGCACCTACGTCAATATAGATATTTTGTTTTATTTCCGTGCAATAACAATTTAGTGGTAGAGATAAGATGAAGGTGAATGAGTAGATTGTTTATTATAAATATGTTATTGCAAATTGGTTTCCTTCCTCGTTTCGGTGTGCACAATTAATCTGCACTTGCTGTTGTTCCCTAAAATCATACTCGCCAGTCTTAAAAGTGAAGTCCAGGGCTATTGACTTTCTTCGACAGTCAAGGTTTATGATTTCATTATCTTTGTTTACTAGGAGTCGCCTAATACCATTGCATTCAATGCTATGCAATATCATTAATAATCATTAGCATTATTAATTAAACATGAGGATAATCACTTATCTCGTCCCGCGCCAAAGACTTGTGATGTTTTCGACATTTTATCAGCATTCGATTATTAGATAGTTTTGAGGGTGTAGAGTTAGTTTTAATTTGTAAGTTTGTATTACATTGTATGTAATGCTAATGAGGATACCTTTTAGTAAAAGCTTGGAGGAATCTATTTCTTTAATTAAGACATAGTATTGTGTGCACAGTGCAAGTGATAATTTAAAAGGATATTTGCGGTTACTTGTAGTTGAAGTCAGTCTTAGAAGCCTAACGTCCGATTGCACCAGGCCGACTTAACCTCGTCTACCTGAGCTCCAAATCGATCTTGAAGTATTGCACCAGTCACAGCATATCTCAAGCCGGCCTTAAATATACACGGTGTTTTTTTTTTAGATGGTCCATACGACAATGTAAAGGCGTTGAGTTATTTAAAATGGGCCATAGGGAAATTTACATTGCATTAATTGTTTCAGTCATAGCTTCCTCGCGAATCATCTGCCACAATACTGTAGACATTGTTTCTAAATCGACAAATTTATTCAAATCAGATATAAACATATAAAATTACAATCGGTGCTCGAATTGTTTTCCACCAGCACAGACAACATATACTAAACAATACCCGATACTCGACACTGAATAGCTCGCATTACTACTCAGCTACTGTGCCCACTCTTGTACAAATTGTACTACATGAACACCTTTTCGAGCGGCGGAATACATGTTGCTGCTTCGTTGACGCGGTTTGAAAGATCAGATTGAGAACTGTCAGTGAAATAACTAAGCGCAAGGCCAAGATTTGAGAACAATTGGCGCAATGTAATTCGCAAGGAAGCTATGACTGGAACAATTGATGCAATGTAAATTTCCCTATGGCCCATTTGAAATAACTCAACGCCTTTACAATGTCGTATAGCCCATCTTAAAAAAAACACCCTGTATGACGCCGAAATCCACGGCTTAAGTGGGGCTTACCCTTAGACTATTTAGAAGACTTTACATCTACGAGTAAAAATTTTTTACTCGTAAAGTAATATACCGACTTTGTGGTTCAATTGTAGAGCGTTAGGCTAGAGCCCGGATGTCGGATATTCGAACCTGAACTGAGGTAAGAATTTTTCATCGGTGATGGAGATGGGAATTTCAGGCATTCTACCGGCTACTCCGAATTAGGTTTTCTGCAGTTTTCCCAATTCGTAAGGTAAATATCGGAATAGTATTGTCACTGAATTTATATTCAATGGTATTGTGATAACCCACCCTTATGGTTAGGCAACACACCTTACATCTGAAACAAAAATATGATATGCTCTGTATACAGGGTGTTTTGAAACGATTATTGAGACAATGGTTGCCATGGATTTTAAGCTACCCTTAAGCTAAGCTCCACTTAAATTTGTCGGTGCAAACGGCCATTAGTGAAGTAAAATAAGACCGTGGCACTAATAAGATCAGAGCCTCCCTTATTAGCGCAAGTCACAATTTAAAAATTTCAATATCTTTCTAATGCCTACTTGTTCAAATACGTTTGTATTTACGATATGTATGTATGTACCTACGGTTGCTGCTTTAACCTGACGCCAATGCACTGTAAGCGACCATTGTTGCTGGTGTACCTCATGGTGTACCTACTTTACGATCCTCTTTTATTCCTCCTCTCTCTCTTTCCTCTCTAAGGCCGGTATTACACTATCAATGATTTAATAAAATAAGATTCATAAATAATTTATCAAATGTAATCGTATGTTATTATACTTCCTATAAAATATATTTTATAAAACTAATATTTTTTAAAAGAAAACTGTCCAATATTTTATAAATATATTTTATAAAAAATCTTTGTCACGTATCTTTTATAGTCTAATATCGGCCCAAGGGCGTACCTTGAAAATATCTCTGTATTTGTCATCTTCAGCTGTCATCCTTATAACATTCGTATTATCATTGTTTGAATAAATAACAAAGGTATCATATTATGTTAAAAGTGGTGTTTTCATTTTTGAAGGATGCCGACTCAGTTGATATTATTGATAACGTGGAAAACATACGTATACCTCAACGCAGAAGTAGTGGCGTAGCGCGGTCTTTCGCCGCCTGGTGCCGACGGGAAATTTGCCCCCCCCCCCCACCCTCATTTTAACTGTTAATCAAGAAAATTAATAAAAGTCAAATAACGCAGCTAAGTAAAAAAGTAGGTACTTTTCGTGTTTTTCATAGCAAAATATAGTGTATACAATAATTATCAATGTATGTAATTTAAAATAACCAATAACGTCGTAGTGCAAGCAGCATTATGCTATGTTAACTTCAATCTTATCATAAGGTTTATGGATCGTGGTGCAACGGCTAAATGAAAGTAAAAATTTTAAAATAGTCTAGTAGGCTATGACTTGATTTATTTTGATAATCTCTTGTTTTTATTATTTTTGACAGTTTGCATTTGAAATTGTATCTTGGGTTTGCATATGTTTATAAATGAAAGATTTAAAGGTCATGAAATTATAACACCCTGTACATCGGTAACGAAGCGTTTACGAGCCCATAAAATAAAATAAGCACGAACACCCTGTATAGTTAATTGTAAAATATTTATATAAATTTATATAAAATGTTCATGTAATGTTGGATATTCGAAAAGACGATAAAGACGTGGTTATAAAAATAAATGTTTCAATTTATGAATTTTCATTCTTGAAGGTTCTTCAAACCAAAGTATATTTATAGAATGACCACAGATATACGTAAAGAAAATATATCTGTGGTTGTGGAATGACTTTAAAATTTGATCACGTGCGAGTGAAGCGCTGTTGAAGCAATAGCGCGCCTGAAAGTTATACAACTCATTATACGCTCTGTGTGATTTGTGGCTCTGTGTTGTTGGCGTCGGAGTCGGATTTAGGTTAACTACGTGGAGTTCCTAAACCACAACAAGCACGAGATGCCTCACACAAGAAGAAATTTTGATGGCTTGCTAGCAAAAGTGAATTTTCCATTGTATACTGTACAAATGTTAACAAACAGGCACGTTATAGTTGGTGGTGGAGGAGGATCTGCAAAGACTGGGGTCGCTAATGGCTTTGTAAGTCTTACAGATTGATAGGTCAGAAGTGTATAACATTCTGTCTCAAACCACAGGAAATATACGAACTATCACACGATGGTGAAAGATTCATCGTTGAGGAAGTAATCCGACACGAAACCGGCCCTAGTGTTGTAATGAATTGCTCCACGTACAATGACAAGAAACATTCCTTTTTGGTTGCCGGACAAGAAAGTCATTGCCAGTTGTACAATGTACGAACTGTTCTTATAAATAATAACGTTGAAGTAGAAACTGTGAATCCCCATGAAGATATTCGTAATCGTAAGAACAAACCGATACAAACTGAGAATAATCACACAAATAATAACAAGAAGCTCAAATTCGTGATTACACCCAGTGATAGCGTACAAACAGATTTTTTACAGGAGGAACCATTACAGCGTGTAGTACGAATTAGTCGCCTTAGTAAAGTTATGGCTACAGGTGATACAACAGCATTTTCTGCAAGATTTTTACCATTTATTTGCAGGAGGTACGGATGGCATTGTAAGATTGTGGGGGTTTCCGAATTTAAAGCAATTACATACTTTAAAAGCACACAAAGAAGAAATAGATGATTTAGATTTTAGTCCTTGTCAGAAATATTTAATTAGTATAGCCAAAGATGGATTAGCGATATTGTGGGATTACAGCAGTGGCAAGGAAATACGTAGGCTGACATGGCAACAACCTGAAGGGTCGAAGTATTTGTACAAAAGATGCAGGTGGGTAGGCATTGGATTTCTAGTAAGTTTTCTTATGCAGAAATTCAGAGGAAACATGTAACGAAAGTATGGTGACATACAAATTTAAAGATTTCACGTGAATTTTAAAGAAAATTATGCCTTTCACATCACTTCTGAAAACTTGTACCATGTGTTCTATTTTGGTTTGAGATTACAGTGTAGTCAGCTGTTTTTAAAGATAAATACTTACAGTTTTCGCATACCCCTTTTTGTGAAACTTTTTAGTACCACAAACTGACAAACAGAATCACTCTTTGTAGTTACATTTGTTTCTGAGATACAGGGTGAAAACTAAAAGTTTAACTTATCTTACTACCCATGTAAAATAGAAAAAAAGAGTACAGAACCATTCCAAGTCATATAAAATTAAGTATACACAGAATTTAATTTCAAAAAAGATGACAAAAATTAAGTAAAATATGCAAAGCATTAAAAAACATCTGAAATATTAAAAAAATTGATGCAAATATACAACAAAATTTAAGATTGCTTCAAATTCAAATTTAAAAAAATTTCAAAAATTCGGAAATTAGTAAAAAAAAATTCTTGAATAGAAAAAATTCCATAATTCAAAATTAGCATAAACTTGACAAGTAAAAAAAAACAGATTTGTTTGAATTTAAAAATCTCATGGTTTTCCTTAAGAATCATACTTCACCAAATCTCGAAAAAAGCAGAGGAAAATCCGAGAAACCTTAATTTTTCCTTCAAACAGACACGCCAGGCGTCAAAAATTTTCACATTTTCCATTCATAGTAGACAGTAAAATATCTAATAAAGCATGATTTTGTAATTTAATTGTAGATTTGGCGTTGTCGAAGGTGCAAAAAATTTGAGTGCACTGTATATGTTAGCCAATCCAACGGGCCGTGCTGGAAAACAAAAGTCGTACCTCCAAAAGTGGATACCTCAGGAAGGCCAACTTTACAAAATTGCTGCACTTGATGAAAGCCTCTCGGCTTTGGCTGTACGCGATGATGGAAGATTTGTGGCTCTGGGAACTATGTTTAGCGGTTCTGTTTCGATTTATATCGCGTTTAGTTTACAAGTAAGTGAAGTCTTTTACTGTCGCCCGTGAAGAATGACCATTTTGCAGAGGGTTTTACATATCCCCGGCGCTCATTCCATGTTTGTCACTGGATTGGAATTTTTGCCAGTGTCATCGGATACTCATACGGTTAACAGTATTGCAGAGGCGGCCGTGCTTTCTATTTCTGTAGATAATCAAGTTTGTATACACAGTTTACCTTTTAGAAGTAAGTATACAATTTTAAGGCATACCTATGCCTCAGTGCCATTGAACAGTCAGATGGAAGTTCTGACCAGAATTTCTCATGGCTACTAGAGATTAAAATATGGCCCCTTATTTTTTGCATTTACCTACTCACTATTTTACTTCTATGTCCATAGGCATTACGTTTTCAAAGTCACTGAGCGCAAAGATGAAATAAATTGTTCTTTCGAGATTTTAATGAATATTTTCTTTCTAGGTACCTTGCCGGCATGGTTAGCAATAATTGTGATAATATTAACAATCTTTTTTACATTTGTATTATGTTCATATTTGGGTATTTAGATTGGAATCTCTCTAATCACAAAATATACATTTGCACCACATTCAATTATTCATCTTACACAAACCTTTGGTTTGTGTGCGAAATTGTTCAAGGACTCAAAGGCTCCCGTTCATCTACATAACAGTTATTTATACAGTCGATCAATAAAGACATTTATTATTGTTATTGTTACTACCTTTAGAGCAGTCAACCCACTGTAAACGCTGGTGGCCTTTTCTCTCACTGTTAATACCCAGGGTGATCATTGACCAGCCTTTTTTAAACGTTTTGAATTGTTTTTGATTACTTGAATGTTATCCATATTATGTGTTATATTTTTCAAAAGAAAATTTAATATGCTATCTTTTTAGATGAAAGCATTAACACAGTGTCCCATTTAAAAAAAATGAGATTAGATCCGATAACTTTTTTTACCTATAACCTTAATACAAATTCATATGCTTGATACCGTTAACCTTTTGTTTGACATCGCGTTCATTTTTGGGGTAATGTTTGTTTATGTTCCGATTACATCCAACTTATTAGATGCATACCTACCTATTTTTAAGCATTCTTTTAAACATGCAGAAATTATCGAATTGTTTCATGTGTGTATGTGTACTGATTTGTTTGTAAACTAACATTTTCGCGTTGAAGAAACGGTCATTTTCCGTCTTGTCTTAACAGAAAGATTTTATTGCAGCAAAGATGAGTGACATCCTGTATATTTCACACCTTTTTAGAATTTTTGTACCTGGGGCCCTGTGAAGTTAGCGTAGAACCTGGCGGTTAAGTACACTACAGAATTAAATAGGAAAAAATTACTACAAAAAACTTTTAATTGGATCATAAAACCTCTTAATCTCTCAGCTCCCGTTGTCCTAAAAATCTAGGACATACCTCAAAATCTAGGTTAATTAAACGCACTTCATTTGAGACTAGACACGAATTAATCGACTGCGGTTTAATACAACTCATTTAATTAGCTATTGTTAATTAAACTCGCTTAACTGGCCGGGTTGAAATTCCAAAATTCGGTAGTCCAGTATAATGCTCATTGTTAGTTGGAATTCCGGGTGGCGTACGTTTTCTATGTAAACTGCACGCTACGGCTAGACATGGGAATTTTTTTCGATATATCGATAGGTATCGATAGTTATCGATATATCAAATAACAATAGGTAGAGCTAAAAAAATCGATATATCGATAACTATCGATACTTATCGATATGTCGATAACTATTGATATGTCGATAACTATTGATATATCGATATGTCGATAACTATTGATATATCGATATGTCGATAACTATCGGTACGATAAAATTATGTTATTGTTGAGATTTCAACGAGCGCTACTATTTTTATTAATAAAATCCATTTTCGGTTTTACTCTCGTGTAAATTTACTATTTTTAGTTGCTCGACGTTTCGGAAACTTAACTTTGCTCCCTTTCTCAAGAGAAGCGCTACGTCACATCATCATCCATGCCAAATAAACGCAGTAATAAAATCTTTAGAAAATAGATCTTTTCGTCTTACTGACGATTGCTCAAAAAAAGAAGCACTTCAAAACTTGAACAAAATGTTGCATCAAAATGGCTACTCTTTAGATAAAATAAAGAAGACAATCAAAGGGTGTAATCATGGCCTATGTATCGGTATCTGATTGATGGTTACAGAGGACCAGTCACAAAAAAACAGAAAAAGCTAAGAACACTTCAAATTTAGATATACAGTTTCAATTGATTGACATTTACGAAATCTAACAAAAAACTCTTGATAAAGGTAGCAAAGAAACGTCGAGTAACTATTAATAGTCACTTTACACGAGAATAAACCGGAAAATGGATTTTATTAATAAAACTCGATAAGATAACTATCCCTGTCGATAATACGTTGAATATTTCTCTCAAATGAGGCGTGCAATTACCGCTTAATTACAGCGGTAATTGCATTGTAGAAAGCTAAAGAGCCCTGCGATAATTGCACAGTTAATATGCGGTAACTCCATTAAAGTTGCAAGAACTGCATTCGGTTATTTTCATATTTTGTTAAAAGAGCCCTCTTGTCTTGTCGGGCTCTTTCGCCAAAATATAAAAATAAATTCATGCAGTTTTTAGACACGCTTTCAAAAAAATTATCGGTAATATTATATCGATACCTATATATTAAAAACTATCGCCATAACGAGAACTATCGATATACCGATACTTATCGATATAGCGACAGTTATCGATCTTTCGATAGTTATCGGTGTATCGATAACCATCGATATTTCGATAATTATCGGCATATCGATAAGTAAAATATATCGATAGGTAAGTACCCGATACTTATCGATAGGTGAAAACAGTTATCGCCCATCCCTAGCTACGGCAACCTTGCTTGTTTTGAATTAACATAGGAAACTAATCGGTTATTAATGAATTTAGCGGACTGAAATCTTTCTGGTCATCTTTTAAAAAGGACAACAGTTTTCGGATGCTACAGGATACATTCCAACTCGCCAAGAGAAAGTGATGGTACCATATTCGACTTGAGTGTATCACTAGTAATGGAGATAGGATATATGTTGGAGAACAGAGTATTGGAACAGGGTACTCACAAAGTGAAACTAAAAGTTTTTGTCCAATTTATCTGTTGCAATAGTGAAACATAATATAAAACATCGTCATATTTACTTACAGCATCTTTAAACGATTACACTTTTACTTTGTTTTAGTATTTATATTTAAAAAATGTTATGACAAAAAATACTTACAAATTAACTATCACATAAATAATCATTTGAATATACCTAAAACTACTACTACTTATTTAACAGTCGTAACGCGATCTTGGCAGCTGCTTTCTTGGCCGATGCTTTACTGCCACCAGCTCCATAAACAACCTTTTGCGAACCATTTAACATAAAATGTAACTGTACAATAACGTGTCCGTCATCGACAACAACAGCTGATCTAAAATTTGAAAAAAACAGTGCAATTATAAATACTTTGGTCGGGTTTATAGTCTACAAATGACGTATACATCATCAACATAAAAGTTTGAGCAGATTATAGGCTATGACTCCTGAGAGTCGTGGTTGTAATCGGAGTTTGGGCATGAAAATTTTTCTTCTTACAGAAAATTTCGTTTAATAAGTAACTTACTTTTATTATACGTGCATGGAGGGGCATCTAAAACGATCCACTTTTATTATAGTAACTAGATAGAGATATCTCTTTTATTTGGCGAGAATCGAAAAAATAGTCAAATATAATTTATACGATCACATTTTATTCTGATGAAAAAAGACCAGTGTTCCGTTTTTAAGATTTACAACAGATACCGTGCATCCCGACCGCACACGGTGCATATTGACTTGACTTCCTGTACGTATTACTGCTCTGCAAACAAATAGGCTTTTGTGCATGCTAAGTTTTGAGTACCGTTATCTGAATCATGTTTGCTTGTACAGGTTATTATGTCTTTATATTGTTTGATTTATTTATGCATGTAATGTTCCTAGGAGTCTATCAAGCAGACACTGAAAACGTTGACTTACCCTATACTTACCGTTGGCAACTCTGGTAAGAAACTACAAGCAGAGCCACCTACCTTTCCAGTCGAAACGATGGTAGTTTCGCGCCACTTTTGAATTTGGATGGCAGTCGTTGTGTAATCGGTTCTTTTATGTGTTGGGACGTGAGACATAATCGGGAAGGGAATTAAATAAAAGACAGAACTTTTCTGCGTAAGAAATGACAAGATCAAATAAATATATTAACGCACACAACAAGACCATGCCAAGGAAACCTTCTAAGGGACTAAAACCCTGGCATAGGCCACACAAACACATGAAATAAATCACCTACAGCAATAAAATGCAAGAGAATATACACATAAATAAAACATCTCAAATTGTATGATAAAAATCAGATAATCAAATCAAATTCAATTAAACAAGTTCATAAAATCAAAACACACAAGACATCATAAATGCAGTGGAAAACATGATAAATTAATTCAGTACAAAAACACATCAAAATACTTGTACGATCAATTGAGATAACTCAACTCGTCGAATAAACAAATTGCATGTACATAGGAAACATGTAAATGGTGTGGCTCTACTCCAGCCTTCCGTTAACATAATTTAATTTAACACAAAAAGTACATGTGAGAATGGCATTGGCCAATAGCAAGTATTCATGTGAAAATCGATTATCGCTCAAGCAGATCATATTTTAAATAGAGGAAATGTTAATGAGAGGGCCCCCACTCGTATTGCTAAGATGTTAAGAACTACAATCCGCACGAGACGAGTAGGCAACAGATACAGCTAAAGATCGAACTACATTAGGTACCTACTCCACGGAGACAGAATGACCCACTCGCACACACAAACATCGAAACATCAAATAAAAGAGCCCCCGTTCGTATAGAGAAGTGCAGCGCGTCACGAATCAGAAAGTAACAGATGCAGCGAACAATCAAACTGTATTAGGTACTTCCCTCACGGAATAGTTACGGATCAATCGGGTAGAGCAACATCGCACTGATAATCAACTCCTCGTGAATACAGAAATAAATACTTAATTAAACAAAATAATGGCATAATCATCTGTACAGTATAACAAACAAACATGATTCATCTAACGGTACTCAAAACAAAGGCATGGAGTATGCCATGATTCAGATATCGTAGTTTATGCAAAATCAGCAAAATGTAAATAATATCAAATTGTGGCAAGAAATTCAATGATTAAATAGCTAATACAAGAAAGAATAAAATGGTTACTACCTGTAAATACACCTTCAAAAACCACCACCAAAAATAATCAAGAATAAATAAAAAAAACCGGGAAAGCGTGTGCCTTCCGTCGACCTCGTCGCCATCTTCTTCTCATTCTCCCCTAGCTTTGTTACAAAAATCCCCTAGTATTCGGCATCTGCGCAAAACGGTCGTTGGTTATATACAGAGCATATTATATTTTTGTTTCAGATGTAAACGTGTGTTGCCTAACCATCAGGGTGGAATATCACATGCATTAACGAGGAAGTTTATTATCCGTGTGACGGTGCTCTGCTTGATTTGATTGAATTATTCCATGAAGGAACTCAGATCGTGCGGATCACAGTTCTTGGATCTTAGCAATACGAGAAGGGGGTTCTCTAATTAACCTTGCTTCTATTTCTTAGTGTGGTTTTAATAGACTTTTAACATGACTCGCTACTAGCATTCTCACATACGTACTTTTCATTTTAAATTATGGTAACCGAGCCTGGAGTAGGGCCACGCGATTTTGATTTTTTTATGTACATGCAATTTACCATTTTATGAGTTGTTTTGCCTAAACTGAACCGTAGATGTGTTGAATTAACATGTACCCTTGGGTACTAAGGGTGGGTCGTTTTAATGCGCCATGTCAGAATTATAGTTAGACATCGTCTAGTATAAAAAAAGTGACAGGTAGCCGCCCACTGAAAAACTTTTTCTTCGCATGCGCTAGATAGATGAAAATATAATAGCATAATTTGTGTACACCTCACAGGCGACTGAAGGCTATTGACTGTTTTTATACTAGAAGAGCAATAATTGGTTACATTAAGCTCCAGTATAGTATGCACTCTGTAGGATGTAAATTGTATAAGAATTCCGTTCCAAATTGTAGAAGAAATTTCACAAAAGAATGTTTCAACAAAAATAATACAAAAAATGGAAAGTATCAGCAAAAAAAGAAATTTCACTCAATAAGACAAGAATGATTTTATTAGATATTAATTTTCTCAGTAGCTATAATCTGTATTCAAATCTGCTGTTCTTTCTTCATTTATTTGTTTTGTGGTACACATACAATTTACGGTTAGATAAAGTAAGTTTCACTTACCCAAACCTTGGATTAGCCGCAACCATCTCGTGGATTACTCTAATTGGTTGTTTTGGAACATTTTTCATAAACGTTTCCATCTCCTTCCACATTATTCGATGAATAACTTTCCACGTAGTTTTAAGACACATACCAGAATCCAAGAAGACAGCACCTATCAAAGCCTCAAACATATCTCCAAGAACCTACAGGTTCGACATTACAAGAATGTTAACATGAGGAACAAATACCTTTGGCACATCAATATGTTGACCTATGTGTAGTTCCCCTTCACTTATTAACGTTAGTACTTCCTCATTGATCTTGTGATTGTTTAATTCTTGATATCGAACGAAGTTATCTATATATTTTGATAATTGCCTATTTGAAAACTGCAGATGTTTTTGAAATCCACATCTAACTGTGAAGCACGCGAATGTGATGTTATTTACCAATGCGGAGCGTAAATCGGTTAAATCACCCGGACTCAAATTTTCAGAAGCTTCAAATATGTAGCAAGTAATTAAGAAGTCTAATACAGCATCCCCCAAAAACTCCAAAGTTTGATAACAATTCGTGATACTATTGGAAATATACGACGCATGCGTTAAAGCTTGTAACAAATACGCACGATTTTTAAATGTGTAACGTAACTTGTCTTGCACTTTTTCCCACGCTGGTATATGGTATTCAATATTTCGTTTGGCGACATCTTTGGCAAAGGCCGGATTCGGAGGCGTCATTTGAAACATATTGTCAATATTTTCAAATTGTGGTACAATATTTAACCACTTTAAAAATCGTAAACCACCCTTGATACCGTGAGCTTGAAAATACACACCTAACAGTGCTTCAATACAATCGGCGATCGACTTATCCCTTATAACTTGCTGATCTAAAAACGAGTATGCGGAATTGGAGTGCACAACTGCACATTGTCATCTTTAGGTAACTCGTCACAGGCTGCACTGATGTCGTTGATAGATTTATCACATAATACACCATCGATCTGTTCGCTTTTTGTAAAGGTAAAGTGAAAGAGAGAATTTATAGATATGGATCGATTGATCCTATCTCTTAATATTTTAGGAACATTAAATGCGGGTGTTTCCACTCTGAAGTTGGATCAAACTCTGCGACTTTTACATACTCGCTAATGCCCTTTTTATTTCCAATGTAAAATAAATTCTTATTACTAATTAATTTTCCTTTAAAACTGGTTAACATGCCTTCATCAAAACTTGGATATTTCAGGAAAAGGAACAAAGAAATAGTAAATTTCAAAAATGAGTCACCCAAAGTTTCTAACCGTTCCAAATTAACTATGTCATTATTTTTTGCCGTAGTCAGTGCAGTAAAAATATCTACAAGTTCGGCACCTTTACTATTTTCTCTAATTTTCAAAAAATTTAATGGTTTATAAGTGTAAAGGTTATTATCCGTCTCACACTTATTTCGATTTGCTACTTTATTCTTTGCTAACTGGTGATCCTTTGGTAGCGCTTGTGACACAAAGTTGTCAAAAGCTTCCACATCAGTCAACTTCACGTCACGTTGTCGTTCGATATCTACAGGTTCGGTTAACTCATTCCAAGGACATTCCGCAGCTAATTCTTTAATTGTTAAATCAGGTAATAACTTTGTTAAAGAAATGCTGCCAAATATTTTATCTTGAGATATTTCCGTTATGTTCGATTCCTCGATTTCTTCATAATGTGCGCTTTCTTCTATGTCGTCCGTTATATGTTTATCTAACAGTAACGGTGCCCACTCTTCCTTTTCGGATAGTTCATGGATGCCTAGTCCAATCCCTTTTGCAATTAAACTGCGTAATTCATCTGCCTGCAATAGTAACACAATTCTATTCAAAATTGTTGGCAGCAAACCGGCTTGCAGCCATAATGCGGATGGAAAATCTTGCTTTACGCAAAGTTCGGGTATCAAATACTGTTCAAATTTATCACCGCTACTTTTTCTACCATGTGACCTACGAGGTTTTAGACAATTTAACCTCTTTGACATACCTTTCACCAAAACTAAAGGCTGACTTTTATTGATTATTGTTTGCTTGTGTTTTTCCATGAAGTAAGCTGCGTAGGTGGCAAAGCCCTCTGTAGGAAAGGCGCTCAGCGGATTCAATTCGTCAGAGACTTTGATTACGAGGTATTGCTGGAACAAACATTCTTAACTAAAAAAACAATCTAATGCTAGTGCAAAACAAAACAGACTGAATAATTCGAAGGAAATAGTTTTTTGGAAAAAAAACGCAGAAACAGGTCGCTTTAGGTTGGAAAGGGGGATATCTTTTACTTGAGAATCCCCCTAAATAAGATTGCCACTCCTTCAATAATTGTAAATTGAATGTTGGGCTTAAACCATATAGTAGGTACATGGACTGCTATTAGCCCTATGCTTTCAATACAAAATGGGTGGTCACGGATAGAGGGCACTGTAGTCGTGGGTATGTGAATCTCAGGGTAAACTAAAGTCATATGAACACCACTAGGATCGCGTAAAGACTTAAAGAGTATCTTTTATGGTAACCGCGTAGTACGGGAAGCTTTAAATACTCTTGATTATCTTCTATACGTCCACAAATAAGAATAGGTTTGCTTTTTTTGCCATATCTACGCGATTAATTCATTGACGTTTGTAAATTTATAGGTTGACAGTCTCAAATCGTGTCTAATCGGACAACTTCGGACAGATTCGTTTACCCTGAAACTCACATACCCAGGCGATGTCCTTGACCGTATTTTAGTTACAATTAGCAGTCCATGTACTATATGGTCTAAGATGTTGGGTCAAGTGACACATCATTTGCCTATGTAGGTTTCAAATTTGAGCGAGTCCTTTGAAGGATACAGGGTGGCAAATGACAAATAATTCAAATGCATATTCAAGCTTGTACGTGAATGAACATAAACCATGATAAATCAACATAATAAAACCTTCTAATAAATGTAGACCCATAAAACCTGCTCGAGCTATCCCTAAATTATGAGCAACTCATGAATTATTTGATATGTCACATTTTGTCTTGGTTTTTAGCTCGGTTTTTAGGTACTAATAGTAAAACTGATGCGATTTTATTTCAGTGAACTAGAATTGACTTTAGCAATGTCTTGATCCCTACCTCTCAATAAACGCCTTAAATTCATTTCATTACTTCACAAGAGTTGTAACGAGTGGTCGCTTTAGAATTTAAAAAAGTAATTTTTCAAAAGCATATTTTGATAAGCATAGACAAATTCACACATGTACCGCTTCATAGTGAAATTGAACAAAGATAGGTCTGGCGATAACGAGCCACGTCAAGGTAGCGCGAGCGAGCGCGGTTGTCACGATCTCTTGCAGTTTAACTTCGGGTAAGAACATATCAGGTAGCGAGAACTCCTAGATTCGTCAACTGGATGTCAAGAGTAAAAGTGAAGAAAGTAGTTTACATGAAATTGTCAAGATTCTCTTCAGCAATAGATTACATACACCGATACAACTGTAAATAAAGATAAAAGACGATAATTGGGTCTATAATAAAATTTGAATAAACTTTTAAATACGCAATTTCCTTTTGATGGACTATATAAATAACTGGATTGCTGAATGCTGTTGAGAGTTAGTGTATGGTGATCGACTGAGAGCTAACATCAGCTTTCCCTTGGTCGGCATAGCACCGATTCATGACTCTGCACAGGAGAACCTCTGCAGAGATGGCAAGAATAGGTATACAGTGTGTCCCAAATCGGGTGGGATTGCATGGGTAACTTTGTTATTATTAAAGATAGAGAATTGGTTAAATGGGCAATGTTTTGCAGTTTTGGATGCGTATTTAAAATTTCCTTATGGAAATTCAAAATGTCGCATAGGTCCGACGTAAATTCAAAAAAACTAAAATTGGCCATTTCCTTGAATGTCTTATATCATCGAAAGTATAAGAGATATAAAAAAAAGTTTTATATAAAAGTGACTGTCTTTGATACGCTTGATTTAGAATTGATGTCAAAAAAAAATTCAAGATGGCCACTTTTGAGGAACATTTACCAACTTCCTAAAGTTAAATGGGCGCCATATTGGATTTTTAGATTACTTGATAGATTTTTAAATTCTCTTTTCAACAAGCTATTATAACATAAGATTGAAAATAAGATACCAGTTATATTAACGGTTTTTGTATTTTAATCAAGTAGTCTGTGACGAATAAAAAAAAACAAAACAAAATCTATTCGAGGCAACAAAACAATGAAAATAATTACACCAGATGTTTAAAACACTGGCCATAATTAGTGAAACACACTTCAAGACAGTTTAGTTTAGGCAACGTGTTGCCATTGATGATTATTATTATTATTGTAGTGGTAGCTACTTCCACTTTACTTTTATTTTTTAATTAAGTACTTACTTTGATAATTTAATGTACTGTACATAATTCGTGAATTGTGACCTGAGCAGCCAGTTTGTTGATAGATAGCATAAACTAACCCTTCCTTTATGAAATATACGTTGTTGAGAAAAAACCTTTAAGGAAGTTTATTGGAGAATTTGTAAATAATGGTGAGCAGTTAAAGATCCATCGAAGATTACCGGTCTAATTACATGACTTCCCATTATGCCATAAAATACATTAATTAAAAAAAATATTACTTGATTTCGGCGTGAAACTACAACATGTAGGTTTTCCTGTGACGAGTAGTGTTCATAATGTCGATTTGAACACTTCGCAGTTAGAAGAATAAGATTCATCTGTCCATATACTCGAACTGGTAAAACTGTTAGTTTCGATATTCTTGCGGATAAACCACCTACAAAATGTGACCTGGGACAATGCATCAATGGTAATACATTGTGTAAAGTAAATTGAAGTGTCTTGAAATGTCTTTAACTGGATAATGGCATGACTTTTTTCGAGGGGATAGTTTGTAGTTATACCACCATTTGTAGGTATGTAAGTATGGATAATAAGTCAATAAGTGATGTTATAAAAATCAAATTTTTCTAGACCTAATGCTTATACAGTGAATTTTTTTTAAATGCGAACATAGGAGTTTGCATGCAATGTAATTTCCCTATGTTCGATTTTTAAAAAAACACATCAATCTATGAGGTGTGCGCGGTTCACATTCCCAAATCGCACAACTTGTGTTACTATGAACAGCAACTCTATAGTCTTTATGATGAAGAGCACTCGGTAAGATTTTTTAAAGATGCCATGTGAGGCCATAACAACTTTAGGATACATTTTTCTTAATCTTACGATAACTTGACTTCACATGGCACGCGCTGACATCACAATTCATTGTGAACCAACCTTCAATTATTTGTAGGTCATGTGGACCTGGTATTCTACTAATTTGATCTATTCAATACATAAATGAAGAAAATAAGAAAATAAATACCGAAAACAATTACAATAAATGTTCGAAGTGTCCTCCTTGACATTCTAAGCAATAACCTAACCGATTTCGTAATTAAATTGGACGACGGTATTTTTAAAAATGTGACAGCTGTCAATTGTATCTACTACTCATTTGAACTACTCAATAGATTGATGTGTTTTTTTTTAAATCGAACATAGGGAAATTACATTGCATACAAATTCCTATGTTCGCATTTAAAAAAAATTCACTGTATAAAATTTTGGAGGGAGTTGTAATGCCCAAACCCCCCCCCCCTCTCATGAGTGCGTCCCTGATTTTTTTAAACATCTGATGTAATTATTTTCATTGTTTTGTTGCCTCGAATAGATTTTGTTTTGTTTTTTTTAATTCATCACAGCCTACTTAATTAAAATATAAAAACCGTTGATATAACTGGTATCTTATTTTCAATCTTATGTTATGATGGCTCGTTGAAAAGAGAATTAAAAAATCTATCAAGTAATCTAAAAATCCCATATGGCGCCTATTTAACTTTAGGAAGTAAAGGTAAATGTTCCTCAAAAGTAGCCATCTTGAATTTTTTTACATCAATTCTAAATTAAACGTATCAAAGACAGTAACTTTTATATAAAACTTTTTTTTATATCTCTTTCGATGATATAAGACATTTAAGGAAATGACCAATTTTAGTTTTTTTGAATTTACGTCGAACCTATGCGACATTTTGAATTTCCATAAGAAAATTTTAAATAAGCATCCAAAACTGCAAAACATTGCCCATTTAACCAATTCTCTATCTTTAATAATAACAAAGTTATCCACGCAATCCCGCCCGATCTGGGACACACTGTATATTGCTATGTAAGCAAAGTCGATGTGGACGTTAAAGTTTGGTCCAGACGCATGAAGTTAATTACCGGTAATTAATCGTTATTCAACTTTTCGTTTCAATTTATTTAATTAGTCTGGTTGGGTTTTACGTGTATACACAAAGCGAGTATTGTGTTTCTATTTGTATCCAAGCGATTTGTTTTTTCGTTGTAAAAGCTTATTTCCTAGAATTATTAAATGTAGGGCAATTTATCGCTTATTTTCATTATTACGAATTTTAATTATTTCAATTATTATAAAAGATTTATATAATTTAGTAGCGATAATAATGCACATAATCGGCAAAAATTGTGTTTTCGCAGAAAATCTGAGATAAGACAATTCCGCGTAAGATTTCGATACCTACGTGACCACAGGAGCGTCAAAAAAAGGGAGTTCTGATTGTTTGTCGTGTTGCTACGCCCCGTTAATTGGATGAAGTTCTTTTCGAATTTTGGCAATAGGGAAGACACGTTAAACACTGGAGTTGGCGTACAGAAGGGGCCTCTTGCCAATTCAATCATCTGTCGTGTGTTTGGTCAACCAGTTTAATTCAAATTGAGTAAAATTACGTCCCTGTGACCTGATCAGAACAGTAAGTCAGTGCGAAACGTTTTGATTAAATGCGTTTTTCTTTCGCAATTACTATAGTGGTTTGTTGTTGCAGATTTTTTGTTAATTTGAATTTGTGTGTCCAATAAATTTTGTTTAGGTGAAACATGTAAATTGTGTTTATTCGAACCCTTTACCGATCCACATAAATGTCTCATGCTTAATTATGATTAATTTTTTTGATCTGTACCCAAAGTTTATTTCATTTTACGTTATTTGAGCGTATTTGTTGCAAAACGATTAGTTTTACTGTTTTCACACTTCACAAGTTATTACGTTTTATAAAAAAGGTATTAGTTCATTAACACTGTAAAAAATTAATATTGCATTTAATTAATTGTCTATCGATCGCTTGTTTGCGTGGTACATGTTTGTTAACCCTTTTCTTTCAGCCTGAGTGTTTTATGTCGAATAAATTTGTGATCTGTAAATGGTTGGTTTTGTAATTAATCGATCCCGAATTACGACCCAGATAAGAGTTTCATGTAAACAATTTTGTTCACACCCAGAATTGTCATGAGGTGTTAATTAGAAATTTGTTAATTAATTCTGTGGAATTTTGGGGCGGTAAAGGCTACTGACTTTTTCCAATTAATGTAGTAGGTATGTCAGATGAAACTACCAAGCAATTTGGTCTGTTGCTTATGAACAATAAAACACCTTGCAGTTTTGAGTTGTTTTTTATCTTATCATCAAAACATTTCATGAACTTGACTCGCCTTTCACTACGAAATGTTAAGAATAAATCTAACTGTCAATGACTTGTCAATGTGCTTAAGAAATAAACAAAACACATAAACTTGAATAGAAATACTTACGTGATCATCTTTGCGATACCATGGAGTAATGACACTGCCACAATAATTTTCCTTGGTTACATTTAAAGACAACTTCATTTGCTCTGTAGGCTCAGCCTTTGGATCCCGAATGGCCTTGTGTTTAATAGAGTTTTCGAAATCTATTTCGAAATTTAAAGATATCCTCTTAACAGGTACAATAAGAAATCCATTTGTATCATCGTCATTATCCAACACTAGATATGTTTTCAAAATTCTCAAAACATCTCGAAATACCAAGTGATGAAAATCTTTTAAGTGTGAAATGTTCTCCTCGGTCAAGGTAACCTGCTTATAATTGAGCTTAAGATTAACTAATATCTCTCCAGCTGAAACGTATAATAAAAATTGGCACAATTTTGGTAACCGCTGGGCAGAAAGAAACCCATAGCATAAATGAGACTGATAGAGATTATATATCACTTCCAGGTCTCCTTTATTAGAAAATATCGGTTGTAATTCGATGATATGAAGATACACCTCTTTGTTTGGGATTATGCACCCCTTGCAAGCATTGGGTATCTTAAACAAAAACATTCAAACAGAATTTGAAACAAAAAAAAATACATACTCTCTTAGTATATAATCTTTGTTTGTTTGTTTTTCCCACATCACTTTCCTGGATCTTTGGCCAATGGTTAAAATAGTAACCAAAATTGTTTTGTGCTACCGCGCGATTTCTGGGTAATAGTTTGTTATCCAATTCACCTCTTTGATGCAATATCTTACAAGTCTCTAAAGCTGCAGCTCTTTTTGCAAGCTTCTTCGAGTGCGTGAATGGTCCCTGCATAATCGTATTTAACTATTAGGGGCATTTTAATCGGAAATAAGTTACTTCTATTGGATCTAAAACACCACTAACTGGTGGAAGCTCAATTGTGACTCGATAGTTTAGAGTGTTTGGACATTTATCTACAAACCAGTTTGGCGTATACGTTGTGTATTTATCAGCCGGAAGATGTGAGCAGTACAAGCATAAAAGAGGTATAGCAGTTAAGAAATTGACTTGTGGAGAATCTGGTCCATCCACATAGTATGGAGGGATTAGCTCACCATCCAACTGATCTGCATCCCCAATCGGTTCCTCTGCATCCTGATAATTTCCATGTAGGTGCTAAAATGTCTGTGTAATCTATTAAGGTGACATTTAAATTAATTTTACCAAATTTAGTATGTCTTCTACTTTTTGAAACTTTTGATATGACCTGAAAAATTCATTGGATTCATCTTCATTCACCAACATGTAATATAAACTATTTAGGTGGCGTGCTCTTCCTTTTGATTGAATATATGCACAGTAATTAGTTACAGCACAAAATTTAACTACCAAAGTGCATGTCGGAATGTCAACCCCTTCTTCCAAAACGTTCGAAGCTACCAATAAATTAACCTTCTTAGTTTTGAAATCATGCAGAATGATTTTATTCATTTTGTTAGTATATAAGCCCTCACGGGTGTTGTTGTAAGCGTTAACATTGAAGCCCACAATAAAATTAGGATTAATAAAAGAAAAACGAGGATCAGTTTCCTTCAAATCTTTTAGCACATTATAAATAACTTTTGCGGTAAATCTTCTTTGGACGAATATTATTCCGCATAACGGAACCTTGGCGTTATGATCATATTCTTCCAAAACGTGGAATAGCTTATTTACGTGCGGAGATGAAAATTTGTAAATACGTTCAGGTTGATTCGTAGACTTCATTACTATCTGATACATAGTTCTAACCGTTTGAAAAGTTGACTTCACCGCATCAATTGCAGTTCTGAACCTCTCGTCTTGACAATGCTTTCTAATTCGTTCCAATTGAATAATGTGAGCGGCAGCGGCAATCTCGCCACAGTAACTTCCGAAATATTGAATGTGGTGTACTACATCGTTAATTAGGTATATTACTTCCTTAAATTCGGAATCATTATTAAGTGGGTGCAGGTTTGGTTTTGGAGGAGAGATGGATGTCTTATCTACGTTGATTTTTTTCACAACACTGATTAAATCTTTTAAACATCGGATTGCTAGCCCATCCACCTCCGAAGGTGTATGAGACGAAAAGACACGTATTTCTTCTTGCGGATTTGTAGAGTATCTGTAAATGTGTAAATCTAAAATTGTAAAATATTAAAGAACACAACAACAAATTAACAACAAAGGTCTTTATAAACTACTCCCAACTAATCAAAATAAAATTTATTTTTCGACAGTGTTTTCCATGCTAATAGCTAGCTTGAAATTGTTAATGATAACAAAAACCGAGGTTGCCATAAATACTGATTGCAACTTTATTAGTTAGGTACGCTTAAATAAAAAATTTGCCTGGGTAGCACTGAGCAGATACCACCTGCAGATGTGTGCATGCGCGATTCTGCCCAAAAGCTTTTCAGTTCCGCCTTTTATGTCTAAGAATATGTGTACCAAGTTTGGTTCCAATGGATTTAGCTGGAAATGAGAGTACAGGTACAGACAGACCGACTGACATCAAGATTTTGTTTGATTCGGATAAAAAAGTGAGGGGCTCATTTTTTACTCCAATGCACCTTAGAATAACCAGAACACCTACTCCATTCTCAAGACAAACGAATTAACCCCAATTTGATAAGTTTCATTTTACACGATAAAAAAAGGTCATATAATGTTACATTTCTTACACTGCGAATTAAGCTTCCTTGGGAAAAAATAAGTAAATTCTGTTGAATCAGCGTTTTCGGTAGATAGTCTTAAAGTTGGCGAACCAATGAAAATTAACAGAGTATCTCCGCCATTGCTATTCTACCATGAAATATGTGTTTTAAGTCAACTTAGTATATAGAGAGGGGATGAGCTTGGCACGAAATGAGGGATTAGAGTTTAAGCCGTAGAGCGAGTAAGAGGCTCTAGCTAGGTCAATCAACCAGAGAGAGTCTCGATTTGGCATCCGAAGAGTCAATATGAGAGAATTGCGATTAGTCAATCAGCGTTTAGTATAGCGCTACCCTTAGTCAAATTTACGTGCATATTTCGCGCACATTAGCTTTTCAAGAAAAGTGTCAGTTCGCCCAGATTTAAAGGAATATAACATTAAGCCCAAGAAATCATTATACGTTCCCGTGTCGCAATTAAAAAACTTATAATCGTATAGTAATTTAGTTACATAAAGACACTGTCCGTATTTATAAACAAAGTGATATTCAGCATATTCTATAAACATTTTACCGTGCTCTACGCAGTGCCACAAAGTAGAAAGAAAATTAATATTCCGTGTAAAGGCCTGGACACACATGACCGAACTGAGCCGGCTCCGTGCCCGCACTGAGATACGGTCATGTTTCGGTGATGAATTGCACTGTAGTCTCAACGCTCCGTGCACGGTCATGGTACGGACATGTGTGTCCAGGCCTTAAAGCAAAATTGCGATAAAGAAAACTGTTCGTAACTTTAAATAAAGTGTGGTCATAACTTCAGGACCGAAAACAAGTGCTTCGTTGCACTCGGCATAACTCAGGTTAGCAGAATCTTGATAAAAGTGCTAACACTAAGCGGTTAAAAATACCTCTTATTTTGAATAGAAGCAGAGTAAATGTGGTTACTCAATTACACAAACGTAACTTACCCTGTCAGACACTCTAAATCAGGTACAGTAACCACTTTGCTATGAAAAGTACGTTCCAATACACTAACTTCTTTTAGAACTTCGGCGGGCGTACATTTTCTGTTAAGCAATGTGGCTGACAGCCCTATCACACGTGGTGGGTCTCTCAAATTCGGATAATACGACATCACTTGTGTCATGGGATGATCACCTACGCCGTTGTGGCATTCATCAAAGATTAACAAATTCACATCATTTAAACCTGGAAAGAATTGTGCAGCAATTAAAGCAAATTTCAATAACCTGATTCACAAAATTTCTCGAGTAGTAAATATCCTTGACAATAATCGTACAATACGCTCCACTTCCAACAAATTCACTTTTGACAAATTGGAAGTGCCATTAAATTGGAAGGGTAGCCTGTCCCTACAAAATTTCACAGGTCACGTTTATCTGAAATTTGGGATTCCCGTTCAACCACGCTCAACTCGGCTCTTCTACAGATAAGAAAGTATAGGGTAAGTTCAAAAGAGATCGACCACATTTTGAAAAAAATGCTGGAACGTTTTTGGTTTCTGAAATATACTGTGTTTAGATAAGGATGTTTAGCATGGGGATCTCCGCCACCATACCAGATACCATGGTCAAATTAGAGAAAAGTTGGGCAATTAAACCATTACTTACTATCATGCTTAAAACAGAAAAGCAGAAAATTTCAATGACTATACCAAAACCGAATTTGCAGATTTGGTTTTTTATTTTTTTCTGGTGGTATTTGAACAGATACAAAAGAAACACTCATTGCTACTAGTTGAGCTCTACAGAACAACAATGAGAGATTTTGAATACAACGTTCCCTTCCGGAGGAATCATCAACTTTATTTTTTTCTAGGGCCCATAAAAACGTACATTTTTATTACGAATACAATACATAGCATACACACAAAAAATGGGTTTCAACAGGATGGTGCACCTGCACACAACACCCGAATCGTGCGAGAATACCTATGGGACAAATTTCCAGGAAAATGGAAATTTATTTAAAACTGATTGGCATATTTAGGCATTATACTAGAACTATAGCTACTTAAAACCGACTCAGAAATACCAAGAACCTAGAATTAATAATGGATATGCTTAAAAAATGAAGATGTACAGCCTTCTGGCAAAGAAATTACAAACCGAGATAATGAACTTGAGTGTGGTTCATTACAGATTCCTGTATAGAATCTAAGGAAAGTATAAAAATTGACTAGAACTCTTGATGCTTGATGATAGAGACACCTACGGGTGTTGCCATGCCATATGACCCTTCTGATGCAATTTCATCACTCATCACTAAAATGAACTTTCAAAACTCCAGTTAAAAACCTACTTTGCCATATTGATTCTATACCTACGAGTAAAATGAAAAAGACACACTTAGATAATGTAAATTGCACTTCAAATAGCAGTGTACAAAATCCTGCCGTTGATATTTACCCCTCGGTAATTTATTGATACATTGAACCGCACTTCTTTAACACAACTTACTTAATAGTGAACGTTGAAGTATATTTACAAGTATCTGGGTAGTCATAACCAACACTTGATTGTGTTCAAGTTGATCTCTCCATGTACTATCGCTCCAATAATCCACATTCATGTCGCCGCTATAGGCAGCAACGTCTTGATCTGTTAACGCTTTTAGATATTTCGATTGTTGATCGACTAAGGCTACGGTAGTTACTAACATAACGCTCACTTTTCCTCCTTGACTAAGGGGTCTAAAATTGAGGCAATATCGTCAAGTGAATTACCACTTTTGAGTAGAGCCACCTTTGTAGAGGTTCCGCTAAACGTTTTAATATCATCACAGCAATTAAAGTTTTCCCTGTACCCGTTGGTAAGAAAATAATTGAATTTCTTTTAATACCTATCTCCATTATGGTAAGTTGATAATCTCTTGGTATAAAATCGTCTTTTCCTTTATGTTGCAATTCCATTTCGAGATCCATTGTGTTTATTTAGACAAAATTCACTTTTTTCTTCAAACGTCATATAATATTGACATTACGTAGCCCAGCACTCTGAGTTAAAGTTTGACTTTTTAGAACAATCGAACAAGCGGCAGTGAAGTATTTTAGTGCCTAGGCAATAAAACGCTTCAGTGCCAGTGTCACATTGTTTTGCTTTGACAAGTTGATGTTATTTACATTAGGTTCTTGGTTCACCTAGCAAGTGCGTTGATCTTTCCTTCTGATTTTAACAGAAATAAAAATATAGTCGATCAAAGAAGCTATTTATTTATTTAAATAATAGTTAATGTTGAAAGTTCAGTTAGTCATATTACCATTATTGAAATTAAACCTTCGTTCCTGCAGCATCCAAGTTTTGAAGAGTCAAGTTTTGTTTGGCTCGTCTTATTTCTAATGAATGAATGAAGTATTTTCAAAAAACTGGATTGGTTTCTGCTTCAAATGAAGGAGTAGTTGAAGTCATTCCATCTGATAAACCTGGATTTTCTATAGTTGTCGAAAGTATTTTTTGTGCAATTTCATTTTTATTTGAAATCGAAAAACTCGTCCACAATTAAAACGTCAAAACTAATAATGGCCAACTATAGCAATTGTTATAGTCACCACGGCCGACGCGCTCACGGCTACCCATAACGATCGGGTTAATATTTCTTCATTTGAAAACCATTATTTGGGCGTTATTCTCACGTTTGAAGAAAAAATAGCATATATTATGCGGAGCTAAAGTAACTTCTTATGGCTCGTCAGTATTTTGCTGGCGGCCTCGCTTCGCTCGGCCATCAAACACTGACTCGCCATAAAAAGTATCACTTTAGCTCCTCATAATATAATAATTATACTATTATTACACAACAGGAAAAAAACTTGCAAACGAAGTACCGGGAAAATTAAAAAAACAAACAAAACAAAAGTAAGTAGGTTATAATTCTGAGTCTGAAGTTTGGGTGGGTAGGGAAGATTGGATTTGATTGGTTGTCAACAATGGGTGCGTTCAGGGAAATAAAGCGACACAGCGCTGACATGAATGGTGCGTTCGATTATCCGTTTCAGGAGTGCGCAGAGCGTACAATCATTGACTATACACACAATCATGTGTATAATCAATGGTAATAGCACAATAATTGATTATGTGTATAATCAATCAATGATACAGTGAAAAAATCACGTGATCACTGGAACAAATTAATAACTGTGCATTAGCCGAAGGGTACGGAGCGGAAGCAGCGGGATAAAGCGTCAACATAACCTCTAAATTTTGTACATTGTGGCTGGTTGAGTGCTAAATCACGGGAATGTGTAGAAATATTCATTACAGACGCAAATGATATCCAAGTTATCTTTATGAAATAAATCGCAAACCAAAACAGTCAATCAGAGAAGACAAATATGTAAAGGCAAATTTTTAGGTTAAAATAAACATGGCCACGTGATCACATCCTTTGAAATTTGAATAAAGAATTAAGAAGATAAAGGATGGAGTATTTGTTTAATTAACATGAAGCAAAAGTGGTATCAAAATGGCGAATTTTAGACATAATATACTCGTATATGTTACGCTTAATGAGCGAAAATAACGCCCACAACGCGTTATGGACGAAGCAAAATGACCAAACACTGAAATTAAATATTTTTCCGTGTTATAGTCGTGAACTTATTCTCATAACGCGTCGCGGTCATTTTTGAAGCGACCACAGTGAGAATTGGATGGTTTCAATCAACTAATACAGGCAAGTTCTATGCAGCTCCTGACTAGCTCTTGTACGATCAAGTAATTTGTACAATTTGGCTCAATATCTGTTTTAATTAAAAATGACTTGTTTTATTTATTTAACAAAAATATTTGCTTGCTGGTAACTTTATTTTCATGTTAAAGGATTGTTCTGTGAAATGAAATGCGGGTAACTACACCGCCCACAAAACACTAATCAAATCGGGCGAATAAAAATTACGTAAAGTAACGTACACACTTTCCGACCGTCGCGAACCAGCCACGTTTGTTCGTTGATACCAGTATTTAACGAAACACCAGTTCTACTATTTAAAAAATCCTCTTTCTCTAGGACTTTCAAATAAATCCGCCCACCACAATTAGGGCCTAAACACACGAACCAGTTTTCGCCGAGTCGACCGACGACTCGGCAGCCTCTTGTTATAACAAACACGTAGCGGTAAACAATTCGGCTCAGAAAATATAAAAATTGCAATGTTGTCACTAATTAGTATCAAAAATGAATTCATATGGCTCAAAGGAAGAATTCATTATCAATTTAGAAAAATCAAAAATTTCATAGAAATGAGAAACAAAACAAATCTGCTAAAATACCAAAAGATAATATAGCGGGTAGGTATTTGTATATTAAAACAAATTGAATTGTAACAGCGCTTGTCCACATATTTAATCAATGCATAGCTGTTCTTTCATCTCTGCCCACGTGTCTTTGTAACTTTTGGCGATACCCCATATTAACTCGATAGGGTTGATTGCAGTGATAGGGATGAAGTAAAACCTTATACCCATACTGCTCTGTTAATTGGTGATGTTGATATTGGTTTTTGGGGGTTTATTTCTGAAAACAAAACGCAAATCTATAGGTACCTACCTGGTAGGTACACTACATTGTGAATACTTACAGAGAGGCTTGTAACAAGAGATTAGCTTTGAGCATGTTATCAATGTAGACAATCAATCACTTTTGAATCTGTACTTTTTTCGAGGAGATATACTCGTATCAATGTATGATGATAGGAGGCACACTATGCCCGATGGTTCGATTAACTTTCTAAATAATTCAAACCAACGCAACGCAAGAAGTTTTCTGGATTCATCTTGCAATTATAGTCTCAACCAGTCTTAGAAGAAAATAATAAAGCCGCACTGGGAATGCAGTTTCATTAAGTCATTACCAGCATGAAGAATGATTTGTCTGCAATATTATTTAAAAAATCTTGTGGGTGATATGAAACTTTTAGAGTGTCTTTAGGGAGTAATGAGTCTTTTAGTCATCATGAGTCGATATTTTGCTCTGAAGAAAATTGCTAACCCTAGTGCTAACCTATTGGAAGAAGAACAAAGCGCGCTAGGAGTTGAAATTGAAAAAGTTCAATTTACAAGCGGTAGGAAATTTACTTAGGAGGTACCTATCGTAAATTTCCAACCTTTAGATAACATCAGATATTACAATGCATTAATTGAATACCAGATTGATTGTAAATGAATGACGTATAACAGTCCATTGCGTAAGATGTATTTAATACCTTTTGCTTAATTACAGTGATTTATGATAACATAAATTTTATTTGCGTGTACGATAAGACTCCGTTGTCAACAACCCGTTCTGAGGAGTGCAGTAAATATTATTTAATTAACTACATATATGCCATGAACATGTTTCGCTTCCCCTCTACTACGAATACTTTATTCAAATTATAATCTGGTTTCTATTACCTATTTTACCTTGAATTTGTCATTTCGATTTTTTCGTTCAGTTATTTTAAAATATGTCGATAATCTACAGGAAAACAATAGGAATGGTGGAGAAGGTTATACCGAAAAAATGTCTTCCTTTTTGGAATCATCCCGCAGGTAAGGATTATGCAAAATATTTTGGATTCTTTGTAAAAATTTGAGTTTTAGGTCCAAAAACAGTGTTCTTCTGGGCTCCCAGTTTTAAATGGGTGAGATTATTTTGAATAATTGACTGGTGAAGTGCGTCATATTAAAGGAAGGGTTCATTTTAGGGATTGGTGATCGCAGGGATTAGTGATTTAACCCGACCAGCTGACAAACTTAGCATGCCTCAAACTATTGCATTGGCTTCATCTGGATTTATATGGTCTCGATATTCATTAATAATAATACCAAAGAATGTTTATCTCTTCAGTGTTAACTTATTTGTTGGTGTAACTCAACTTTATCAACTGGCACGTGCATTCAGGTATAGTGTCTTGAAGTTGAATATTTATAATTTATGTTATATGTTTTTAAAGGTACCACCAGAGTTTGAAAGACAAGGACGCTAAAACCACTTAGTTTGCAAATAAGTTACGTTTGTTTTGAACTTAATGAAATTTATATTAAATTATCATAATTTTAAAGTAGGTAGAGTGATAACCCAGTAGGTATTTTTATTGCGCAACAACATGCAGCGTGTTTGCATCATATATATAAGTTGCATTAATATAAGATATATAGGACAACGTACAGTCTATCTCTCTCAAGTGTCTATGGTCTAAGCTTTCCTTACTATTCGTGGCATAATTACACTGACCACAAATTAAACAATCAGTATTTTTCGATGTGTCGTGCTTTAATACCTAAATGACGATTTAAATTTGTCTTGCTATTTGTGGCCAAACTTGCGATAATCCTAGGTCATAACTAGACTGCGCTTAACGTATTGTATTGACAGGTGAAGGTGGCCACAGATTACCTATGCATGTAACGGGCGATCAAAAAATAATAAATACTTATGTTACTGTCGAGTCGCCTTTGGCAGTTCAGGTTAAGTTCGATTTCCCATGTGAAAAAATTCCAAAGGTGACTTCGATATATATAGCATAGTATTTGCGATTCCTGATGCGCATGGGTGATTCGTCCGCAGTTCATTGTAATTTGTACTAATTCGCAAGCAGAGCATACACACCTATGCGTTTGTTCACAATTCGTATGCGTCATGCTTGTTTTATCCATGTTCGTCCTAGTCCACGAAAATACGTGAGTACGAGCAATATATAGTATTTGAGTAGGTACTTGTATAGGTATTGAATTGAGTGTTATATATTTGCATATGCTCTGAAAATATGGAGATTGGCTCGTCTTTAAAAAAACCCGTACGGCGGAATTAAATATATACAAGTTTTACCTGTATAGGTACACCTTCGATCAAACTAGTACCAAAGAGTAACCATTACTCATTACTAGTAGTATCTGTGAACGTGGTCCAGTTTGCCAATTTTACAGTCTCTAATATCACCTAGACTCTTCTCTTATATATATGCCTAGACTAAAAACAAGCTTCCATACACTATTCGTGAGCTACCCGCGAATCGTGCGTCGCGCTCGCGCATCACGAATCGCGAATTCTTGCACAGTCTGTAGTCGGCTTAAGATGTTGTCGGCACAGTATGCAACCCACAATGAACGGTGGGGCAAAAATTGCAGAGATGATTCGCAATATAAATAAGTAAGTTGTTTATATCTCGTGATTAGCTCGAAATAGGTAGTTAACAGATAACTTTCTATTGAAAATAAACCGATAAACTATGGTTAAATCGTGCGCAGCCTATAAATGTACCAACAGATACTCTGTAGATAAATCTGTTTCATTTCACAGGTAAATATACTACTTCCATGTATGTTTTCTTTGGTCAAAAAAACTAAAGTGAAATAAAACGCGTCACGAAATAGGTAATATAATATCATTGAATTTATAACTATCATAAATTCAATGATAATATGTTCAAACTCAAACCCTCATACCATTATACAATGCTCATACCAAAGGTAATATACTTTATCTTTGCTCAATCTAAGGTCATATCATTGATTTGGGAGTTCAATAATCATATGCTGCGCCGCTCTTATAAAATATGTATCACATTCATTTGCCACAACCAGGTATATGTGCACCAATACAAAACATAACATTTTTAATACTTTCGTTCTTTTCAAAACGGCGTTTTTAAAGACTACCAGTTCTTTCGAATATTTACAAGGTGGGTAAATTACTTATAAATTATAAACAAATGTTTTTATAGTTGTAGCGTGTAAAAGGTAATAGGTTTACTCCGACATCATGCCTTTTACTTTAAAAGAGAAAGATGCATTTACAGTCCTGTTTCCGTAATGTGACTAAAGACGAAATTTGAGTTTGAGAGTCTCGATACGTTTGTGTAGTTTCGAGAAACCCCTTAAGCAAAGCCTGAAAAAGCCGCTATGACAAACGGGTATCTCATACGGAACGTGTCGCACTACTGTCTGAAGAAAATTGTATTATCCTTTAAAGTAACCGTGTTACAAGAACTCATCGTCCAGATTTACAAAGCCGTCTAGATTATTGCATGCGATTGGATTAATGCAAATTTACGAGATTGCAACGTATTCAGAACTGTTTACACACCATTGCCGAATTACGAGCAGGTATAAAAGGTGCCGTTTGAAACATTATGCAATGGTAGTTACATTCCGTCTTCAAAAACATGAAGAAAAGAGTGGATCCCCGTCTTAATAATGGTGCACTTCAAACAGTTATAGTGTGCATGTAATTTACGCAATTACTTCAATATTAACGAGTTGTAAAGGAAATAAAATCGTTTCGATTTTTGTAGTATTTTGATATTCGTGTAGTTCCACATAATTTGAAAACTCACAAGGTGCTAAAATCGTTGATTTAAAATATGTTTGAACGTCACAAGTTTACTTTGGTTTGAAGTTTAAGGTTATGTTTTAGTATGGTCATTACATATATATAATATGGGTCATTATGGTCATTGAATAATAAATCTGATCTCATCTGACCACGCCTGTTGCGGCAAATGATTACTAATGTCATAATTTATTGAAGCGGTAGCGGCCATTGGCACAACGGCAGAGCTGTGATGCTATAAGTTTATAGCCTGGATGATAGATGGAAGCACAATGATCTATGCATATTGGAGCAATGACTATAGCCTGGACCTTTGAATATAGACTACGGATAATCAAAGGCCGAATGAATGAATTTGACCATTCTTTCAGCGAGCAGAAACGAGCAACGTTGTAATTTATCGATTATTCACCTTGCTTGTCTTTAATTTTAATTAAAATGTACAGATTTATTTGTAAGTTAGTATATGTAATTAAGTGGTAGATTAAACCATTGTCTGCCATGGCGAGTATGGTATTTACTGTAGGATCGACCCTACAGAACATATACCTATAATAGAATAATTATCATCACTGTCTTCGCAACCAGAAATGTGAGGCGAAGGGCGTTAATTTTAATTTAGTATCACAGTTCCGTTGTGCACACCTACAAGCGCGCTTAATCAACTATGAGCTATCTTCTTTCTTGGCTGTCAGAATCACGTGTGCACGTAGGTATTTTATGTATTTATAAATAATTTGCAGATTTCCCATGGATGAAAATTTAAAGGCCCAATGGATCGGAGCCATCCACAGAGAAAATTTTACTCCCACTAAACATAGTGTCATTTGCGGGGAGCATTTTAAAGAGGCCGATTTTCTGAGAAAGGTACCGACGAATGTGCTAAACAATGATGCGGTACCTAGCGTTTTCAATTTTTCAATGCGCTTAAATGTCAAATCTCCTAACCAAGGCAGAACTCTCATTCAACATCCTTTACCAGCAAGGTAATGGCAATACCTGCGCTTTTAAATGGAACTAAATACTTATGTTCAATTGAACATTTCAGAAATATACTTCTTAATAATACGCAATCGGACGATTGCGACCCCGGTCCTATTCTCAATACGGATCAGGAACCCTCTACTTCTAGTTCTTCACCTACATCTTTAAAAAGGAAAATGTATTGTTATGTAACTGAAGTAAACCATATTCATTCGTCATTTAGGAAACTTTACTTTGGAGATTATTCTGAGGAAGACTTGCAATGTCCCAAAAAAGCAAAAATGATGTGGAAATTAGGAAAAAGACAAATTGATAAAAAAAATAAACAACTGAAGATATTACGCATGCAAAACCTTCGACTTCACAAAAAAATCGAATCTTTGGAGAATTTGGTTACCCATTTAACAAAAAAATATAGAATTTCCGAAGAATGTGAAAGTGTATTGAATTAAGTGTAGCTTGTATTAAACGTTTTTAGATAGTTATAAATTCAATGGTTTTACCTATTGTAAGCAGGTCTGATTGTACATGAATCTGTTGTTGCTCTCCCTTATCACAGATATATTTTCTTTACGTACCTACATCTATGCCCGTATTATAATAATTCCGTATGTTGCAGGTAGATACGTAGTTACATGCGCATGTTTATCCAGAAAGGTTTTTATTTTATTTTCCAGAAATATGGAAGCATCTGTTATTTTTTATTTTTGTAATATTGTTTTATTATTTCCATTAGGAACGCCTTAGTGGGGTGCAAAAGAAAATGATTCCTCATCAAACTTGAACACCTGATAGAAAAATATGCACCTGACATTCGCAGCTTTGCGTAGATAAAGTGAAACAAATGATTGTGCATTCTAATGATATCTGTCATTCTTATTTCAAATGCACGTTATAAAATGACGTTTAGAACATATGACAATGCTGTTTCTATGGAAACCACCGCGACGTCTGAACCTAAGCTTGCTATTTTTATTTTTGACATCTAAATTAAATTCAAAATTGCAACATATAATTATGCGCGGAAAACATTTTAATAATTGATTAGTACACCCCTCGACTGTTAATGGTTCCGACGGGTTTACTAAATAATCCTTTCATATTTTAAATGCAAAGGTCAGTGAATGTAAGGGACAAAACAAGGTACGGTTCTGTGAATTAATATAGGGAAACTGTCAACTCGCCACTGAACGACTAAAATCCACTCTTGCGAGTGTACCTATATACCATCTTGGTAATCGGGCGGACTGGCTCGAGGGGGCGGGTGGCGATTACCACCTGGCCTCTAGGTCATAATGGCTCGTTGGAAATTTATAAGTACCTATGTGCTGTACTAAACAGCATTAATGTAAGTTTCTTGCACTATTAACAAAAATTAAACACGTTTCTCTGATTGGGGTTGAAGTTAGGTTGTTCATTATAAAATTCTGTTTTTATTTAAAGGGGTAGTATACCCAAAATCAAAAAAATTGTAGAAGAAAATCTAAGAACAAAATTTCAAACCGCAGTTTTCTACGATGAGTAGTTTTCAAATTATTAACGATGAAAGTTTGAAAGACAGAACACGTGACGTCATCCCGACATCGTGGGTGCGGCGGCACGGATCCAAGCAGTCCGAACGCGTCAGTTCTTTCATATTCTATTTCGATTTCCTTTGAAAAAAACAAGAAAACCTTACTGAAGTATCATCCGAACAAATATCCTCATATATTTGTTAAATTTCTGTACCCAGCTCACATTGGATACCTATGCTTTCAGTAAGCGTTATTGGTTCCATTTGATTCAGTTCTTCTGTTTGATTGTGGCATATGTTTGATGTTGAACTGGTTTCTCCACTACGAAATTGATCGTTTACCCACAATAAGCAATCAGACACAATCTTACTTTCTTAGATAAGTTGACTGACGTTTTATATAGCTTTATTAGGACCTTTGTTTCCTGTGAGATGTAAAGAAGGGATTGCAGTATTGTCAGCCTTCTCAAAACTTTATGCTGAGGCACAGGGTCCTTTCCTTCTTGTATCTTCCAAAAAAAATTATCATCTTTAAAGTGAGCACTGCAAACGACGTGACTATACTATGATTTAGCGGTTTTTTCTACTTTTCCAGACTTTATTTCGACACGGCTCCTTCTTTTCTCGGGGAAAATTTGCAATGTAACATGGGCATTTTTCCAATTATTGTTGCAGCGGAAAACACAAACTTAGGCATTTTTGAAAATAATGCAGATCGCTGACTACCAGTCTCAAATTAACACGTCAAACGTCATCGAATCCATATATTGCTATAGCGCGCCACCGACCCATTTGTCGGGATGACGTCACAACGACCGTTTTTTACATTCGACACCTTGCCATTTAATAACGAAACGGCGTAGCAACTTGCGGTTTTCACCGTTACTCTTAGATATTTTTAATCTATCTTTAGACGAAAACATGAAATTTGGGTATACTGCCCCTTTAAGTGTTTTACAATGAATTTATCATTTTTTGTCGTACATTGAAAGTGCTGAAACACAGTTATAATAGGTGACGCGCCACGTTTTTTTGTTACTTTTAATTATCAGCTGCAATAAAAAAAAACTATATTCTAATGATTTTCGAGAAAAGGAATACTTTAAAATGAAGCAAAAAATGTTTTGGTGGTGCACTGCAGAGCTCCCTCCGTAATCTTCATAACACTAATACTTTAATGGCCCGTAACCTATGCAATTCCACCTGGCCGGCGGCCCGTAAGTACCCAGTCCGCCCCTGAATTGGTAATCATAGCGTTTTCCACTTGCTGCCCTCTGTCGAACTGAGATCGATTTTTTTACGCTTTATATCAGAGCAGCGTTTTCCACTTGTCCGGTTGCTCCATGAAATTTCGCTTTAAATTCGCATTTTGTAGAACTGTGTTAAAGCTTCAGAGCGCTATACATAACCTGAAAACTTTCTCTTTCAAAATAACATTTTTTTTCATTTTTTGCAATGGATGAAGTTATTTGTACTGTTGTATCAGAAATACTGACGGATTCTTCAGATACTGATGATGAAGAATTAATAGAAGCATTAGGTTCAATTATTAACACAATAGTGTTCCAAAAATTAGGAATTACCTACTTAGAAATAATTTCGCAATATAGTAATAATCACTTAAAGGATTCTTTGAATTTGTGAAAGTAGGCATTACTTAACTAACGATACAACAATTACAGTTTCAAAAGAGTTTTCGGTTGTCTCACGTTTTCCACTGCTCCATAGTAGCGCAATTTTGTTTCCTGCTCCAAGAAAGTGTGCAGTCAGAATCAGGGCGGTACCAATGCGCACTGCTAATCCATCAGTGGAAAACGCTATCAAGTAGATACATTGAAATTACTCTTTAATCACTGAAATGTTCAATATTCTTATTAGCTGAACTTTTCTTGACTAGCGTTTAGACTATTATACGACTTTCATTTTTATATGTAATTACGAATTTAGGTTTCACTCAAAAACCTTGCCAAAAAATTTTTCAACCTCAAAATATGTTAAATAATTTTAGATAAATGCAAGCGTTCTAATTTTCATGTCTCTCTCTATCTCCAACGATTGTGAGAGCTTTGCGGGTTCCATCTTTAATAGCCACCCTGTATATTGTAAATAAATCGTACTACGCGGATACGCTTATTTAGCTTCCCGTATGCTGTGCCGGCACTGTGAGTCATTGGACAAAGGGATTTTTTTACAGAGATTGGGATGTACCAGTACCCTGACTATGAGGATGTACCCAAGTCGAAAACTCCCAAACTTCGAAAAAACAACACGAACTCGGAATCAAGAATGGCCGTATTTCCTACGTTATAAAAGACCGGTCGCACTCACTCGCAAAAATAAAACATAAGAAAAAGAAATAACAATTTCAAATTTAAAGAAAAATTGCTTAAAAGGTGGGAGATCAGCCGTTTTCACTCCTACCATCACAGTACATTAAGCGACGTGAATTCATAATCCATAAAGAAAACAAAAATAATACTTATGCACAACAATAAGACAGAAGTAAGGTAAAGAAAATTAAAAACAAAGAAAACAAAAAAATAAATGGCCCTATTGACATTTGTTTCTCTGGAGTCTGGAGACTTAGAGTTCAGTACGTAACATGTTCTGCAAATGGAAAACTGTAAAAGAAACGCAGACAACAATTTTGTAGCAATTGTAACTTACGCTTATAGTGTTGCGTTGAATGAAAGTACAAACTCAAAATGCCAGAGTTCCTACACATTTTGACAGCAACTATTTAAAACCATCAAAGGCTCGCTGATGTGTTCCTTATAGAACTCATCGAAGAAAAAGCTCCGAGTCATTTGTTAACAGACGGTAAAGATTGGGTCGAATCTGCAGTAAGAGGAAATTGTGTGTAGGCCTATACTATCCTCTGATATAGTTTTCGACAAAGAGTAAGTGTACTCTTTGGTTTTCGAGAGAAAAGTTTTGAAATCACCAATATGGATGTTTCTCCCAGACGTTCCAATCGCCCTTTATGTGTCGGTACCCGCATCTGAAACTCTGCTCTTGAGATCATATGCGAGGAACCAATCACGATAAGAGGTCAAGGAGCAGGACTGTGATTAGTAGAAATTAATTCCTTTTTATGAGACTTGAAATTAGAATACCATGAAAAATAAAACCAATTAATTCTACCTCCTTTCTCCGGCGAAAAGCCTCTAAATGGTAGAAGTTTAGTGCTTCTCCAGCTGTCCTTTTTCCTTGTCCCTATTAAAGTTGGTAACTCACCGCGGCCGAATCCACCAGCACATCAACGGTAAGGTGTGAAACTTTTTTTGCGTAAATAAATGTATTATAAATTCACATGCTATAAATTGTGCCGTCCCTATTACCACCTCGACCACGTTATAGTAAGGGAGGTATTGCATTGGATGGAGTAAAAATGACCTCCCCACTTTATACGTTTTGAAGTTATCCAAAATCAAACAAAATCGCTATGATATTGGTCTGTCTATAGCTATACTCTCATTTCCGGCGATTGGAATCAAATTTGATACCTACACATGTTATCAGACATAAAAGAAAGGGCTGAAAAGCTTTTGGTCAGAACGCGCAGGTGTGTGGGTGGTACCTGTGCTATCCATAGCAATTTTTTTATTTATACAGCCGGGCCGTTCTGTAACAATCTTCACCATCATATTTTTCTTTTGCTACCTCTCGGAATTCAACTCATTTGAGAGCTTACGTAGCTAACTATAGTTGACCCGGTTCTATCTTAATTAATATTCTTGGAAATCGTTAATCGATTCCATAACAGCCAATACCTTCCAATGCAATCACTTTTTCCTGTTCATCTTGCATTAGAATATCATTGTGCAAAAGTGGGGTTCCTGTCTTTTTGAGTCCATCCATAGTATAATGGTATGGTATAATATATTACTTGTCAATGCAGTGACAAAATGAGATGCATATCTGCTTCCTTATATACCACGATCCTACAACGCATGCGCATGCGATTCCCTATATGTAACACTCCAAAATCATTACAAAACTATAGAAAATAAACCCTAGACAATGCAGAAATGATTGCGTTAAAATATGATGAAGAGAAGGATTTTGTAATTTCTTTATTTATAAAAGCAACAAATATTTATCCAACTTATGTCACAAAAGGCTGTTCCAGTCAAACGTATAAAATACCATCAAGTAGTTAAATAGCATATTTGAAATTTCTAAATACCTTTCTTGAAACATGTTAAAGCATATGAAATATAATTGGTGCTTATTTCACGCTACTTTACATAAATATGCTACGATATATATCTTAGCTAAATATTTTTATTTCAAGTACATATTAAATTTCCATTATGTAATAAAACAACTCATCACAGAAGCCAGCATTATTCAATATTAATTTTAAACAAAGCTGCTAAGCAAATCGACAAGTTCATCTGTTGCAAGATTTCATCGTCTTTGATTAAAATTCAAATTGAATATTTTGCGTAAAGCACATTATGTATTTTTAATTAGCGACCATTTCAGATACAATGAAGGCAGTACAGCGGCGGTTGTTTTCTTTTATAAAACCACTGAAATACGTACTAAAACTATTTTGATTTTAACACTTTATTTCAACATTTAAAAACCAGCCATTAAAATGTTGTTCCTAATTGATAAAAAAATTAGTGATTATTCATTTACATTCCTACCTATACATGATAAGTGCATGAACTTTTTCCAAGCATTGAGCCATCAGACACCTAACCCAAACATCATGCATATTTTCGTACACAAACATCAACAGCAATCCTTACGCATTACTTACTACAGTATTGATAGTTACCTTGTTTTGTTATAATTGTAAGGTGGACATCAGCGACAGCAAAAACAATGATAAATAATAAAATAAAAGTAAACGGAAATAGTAATGATTATTTATTAAGAAAAAAATAAAAAACAAAATTAACGTTAATGGTAAAAAAAACATGAAAACTCTCAGTCTACAAACAATACTGCTTAATGCAATGTTTGATATATATTGTTCATGTATTATTAGTTATTAAGAAGACAGCACTTGCCAAACTTTACAAATAAAAGCTAGTAAGTATTTAAGAAACTACAAATATTTGCTTATGCTTAACCAGACGAGGCAATGGTTTGAGGTTCACTAACATTGTTGGCCTTGTTCTGGCGCACAATTTCAGCTCGCCGTTCCTAAAAAAATTAGACTATTACTGCACATTTTCAACTACGCAAATCATATAAACGAGAAAAGTGTTGACATGCATACGTACGTTTTTCTTAATTACTTCGAGCTTACGCTGAATTTCCTTTTCACGATTTAGTTCGGCGGCAGTAAGTTTGGTCTCTAAACGTTTACTTCTTTCAGTCTTTAAAACTTCTTCAGTTACTTCGATATTCTCCTTGATTTCCTCTTGGCGTTCATTCTAAGGGTTTAAATTAAGTAACGAACACTGTTGTGACACATTTAGGAGAAGAAAATAAAAAGAAATAAATAAAAACCTACATTTTTTTTAACAACTTCCAATTTACGCTGAATTTCCTTTTCTCTTTTTTGTTCGGCAGACATTAATTTTGTTTCCATTTTTGTGGAAACTTCGGTTTTGCGAATTTCTTGGAAAGATTTTATTTCAACGGCACGTGTGTTCTAAAAAGCGTGTGCGAAAATAATAAAAAAGAAAAAGAACTAAAAGTGCAAAACCTACATGCGTGCGCAATTTGTCTTTTTGTTCCTGCTCGAGCTGTTCGCGTCTTAATTTCGCCTGATCTAATTTTTCCTGAATGGTGGTTTCGAGTTGTTGGAATTTCTCCGCGTTACTAGCTTTTACACGGTGGACTTGCTCCTCCTAATACACACAATGGCATGCAAATCACATAGATACACGAAAGCGGCGAAAAGCAGTGAGAGGGTAATTCACTTACATGGGCTTTCAGACGTTCCAGCATCTTCTTGATGTTCTCATCGCGTTGATGAGAGGCGGAGTTCATTTTTTCTTCTAAAGCCGATCGTACTTCATCACATTGTTGTTCCAAAGACAATCTGGTCTTCTCTACGGTATCAATATGATCCTATAAATTTCATTTTTTATTACTAATTTTATTCACAAGAAACAGTCTACCTTCATCTTAGATTTCAGTTCGTGAATATACGCCTCACGCTTGCCGATGTGAGTTTCCATTTTTTGTTCGAGAGCATCACGCGTTACAGATATAAAATTATTAGTTTGTTCATCTTTCTTGCGAGAAGCCTCCTCAATTTTCATTATTTGAGCAGAGAGAGCTGCGACTTTATTCAATTCCAGTTGCTGAAAGCACAGGATTAGAACATTAATTGTAAGTAAGTTTACCGCTTACCTGTCGACGTTCTTCGGCAGCTCGAAGTTTATCCTCGATATCTTGAATTGAAACATTCTTGTTGTTGTTCGGAGAGTTGGGTCTTTTGGGCGGAGTCGCCTTTACCTCCGGTTCGCTGAGAATTACTTCATAGCACAATCCACCCCTCGTTTTCTCTTGGCAACGAACTTCAGTTGCTGCGAAAGAATAAAAATTGGTATATTAAGTAAAGTCGACCACAATAATTCTTCTAAAAGTAGTTCCAATTCATTTCAACGCTTGCACGAGAGTGGGGAAATGGACATAAGAGGATTTGGCAAGCCTTCGGGGATGACATCACAAAATTTCTTCTTAACGATTATTTTATTCAAATCTGTAATCGCCCAGTGCTACAGGGTGTGCAAAAAATCCAGAACTCTGTTATCTGCAAATCCATCCTTTTCAAATATGGTATGTGTATATGGGTATGGGTAGGTATGTATACTGAACAAAGAATTTATTCATTTTACTACTTCCTGCTGAACCGGAAATTCCACCTACTAATTTTTTGTAAGTACATATTTTTTATCTTCAAATACAGAATAACAAACTACGATAAAAAAAATATCAATACCAATATGTGCTTTAATAAAAAAATATAGAACAAAATTAAAATATCACAAACTATTGCAGAATTGCGGCTTCGCATAATGGCATAAATACGATATTTTATAGCTAGTCAATCATTCCTTCTGGAATTTGTCAGAAAATTTAATCTTGAAACAATCAAACTCTCGCCTCTTCAAACTCTTTACACACACAGAACACTGCACTCCATACTCTTAAGGTTTCAAATTCCAAAAGGGCCATCAGTCCTTGAATTTTAAAATCACACCACCCATCATATTTATACAGAGTGTCTTAGATCGAGTGGGAGTAAGAATGAATTAGTGTAAGCATTAACCAAAGTGAATCTTGTTTATGGTGGCTGTACTGTTAAGGAGAGGTAGGAAACATCATCTCTTAGTCTATCAAACTATCCACTAGTGAAGTCTTATGGAGTTTACCTACGAAAATCACGATAGCGCGCATTTATTTCAAAACGCAGGGAAAACTGAAATATGTATATACGAAACATTTTTTAGAATTTAAATTGTACAGACTTAATTTTCCAACAAAAAAACTCTCCAACAGGACAGCATATTACGTCTATCTTAGATCGTTCACGTGTTTTAAGAATTCAAAAATAATGCAGGAGCCAACACGGAAACAAATACTCATTTAAATAGTTATTATTCATAAAGAGTTGAAGATAGATATAAGCATGTACGGAGATTGTCGTCAGAAATTTAGTATATCTTCTATACTTAAATGTTTTCCTATCGATTTCGATTTTCCTTGCGTTTTGAAATAAATGCGTACGATCATAATTTTCATGAGACTTTAGTTCTGTTGTGGTTTTTGTCCAGTATTTAATCTTATTATTGAAACTTAAACATAGCAGACCCTACGGGCTTGTGTGACATCTTACATCAACCATCAGCAGTAGTCTGATGAAAAGCAGAAATGTAAAAATAATATTCAGGGTGTTCCTAAATATTATGTACCGGGTGACCCAATAAGACTGTTCCTGGGCCATATCTCGGGAACCGTTCGGCGTATGACTTAGGAGTAAAAAAAATTATTGGGTAAATCGGTTATGAAGAATCGCAGAAAAATATTCTAATAATGACCACCAGAGGGCGTAACTGCCATCTTAAATTTTAAAATTTTCTTTAAATTTCGCATAATAAACTAAGCATTCTTTGGGCAACAAGTATCAACCAAAATATAGTTAATTTAGTTGAATCCTTCTCCACCAGGGGGCTAGTTTTGACCAGTAGCCAAGCAACACCCAAAGAGGCCAGTGAAAACCGTTTTCAAAATCTCGTTCCTAACCTCAAATGTTGGGAAAATGAGATTAATTAATTAATTATTAGTTAATAAAAATGCTATTTTCCAGCGATTCTTCATGACCGATTTACCCAATAATTTTTTTTACCCCTGAGTCATATGAAGAACGGTTTTGGAGATATGGCCGTGGAACAGTCTTATTGGGTCACCCGGTACATACGGAACGGGCTAATTCTTTGACTTATTTTATGACTAAAAGTTCATGTAAGCCTAGGTCCGCAAACGCTTCGTTACCGATGTACACAGTACAGGGTCCCATTTTTATTACTGCATGTGTTCTGAGACTTGTAATACGACAGGCAGAATAAATCTAGCTACGTTTGTTTCTGAGATACAGGGTGAAAATGAAAAGTTTGACTTTTTGGGATGTTATTGTATCTTACTACCCATATGTAAGATAGAAAAAAGGCAAAAACCGCCTATTTTAAATATTTTTACGTAGAATCCAGTGGCGTAATCAAACAAATATTTTTGACCATCGTTTCTGAAATTCGACTCAAAGTTGGCATTTTTAAAATGCAACACCCTATATGTATATCTTAATAGTAGGGAATGGATTCATGGAAATTTTGTTTTGTTTATTGTGTTCATTTGTAATGAAAGCAGCTGATACCAATCAATAAAAGTGGCTGACGGTAGACACGTCATTCCAAAATTTTGAAAAATATGATATGTAATATAATATAATAATATATGTTGTAATACAGCATTTTAAGCTGAAACAAATTCAAAAAATTGACGTAAAAATATCCAGGGTGTTGCATTTAAAAAAATATCAACTTTGAGTCAAATTTCAGAAACGATGGTCCAACATTTTATCTTATATAGCTAGTTCTTAAAATAAGATAGCATCTCAAAAAGTCAAACTTTTCGGTTTCACCCTGTATCTCAGAAACACAAAAAAGTGGCACAGGGTCACTGCCACAATTTAAACGAAATCAAAATACCAGTTTTGCGGGAAAAAAATATTTCACGATTTTTTCTCCATTTTTGTTTGTAACAAAACCTAGCATAATGTTTGTAGGTTGTCCATGTCCATAGAAAAAGAAAGTCTTTCTAATAATTTAATAAAACTTTTGAAGAAATGTTCGATGCTGTTGTGGGACTGTTTTTTTTAATTCGGCTCGTTATTTTTTGTTTCCATGTGCCTATAATCTACATATCCAAGATATGAACTAAATTCGTCGAGCCGGAAAATTGGCAACGTAGTACGTACTTACAGGGTGACTTAAATTCGTGGCTGACCATTGGGATCTCAGCAACGGTGAGATATACAGTGTAGGTTAAATGGGGACAAAATTGCCCCTTGTTGTGATTAAAACAACGCTTTTGAAATTTTTAGAAAATCTTTAAAAATACGAAAAACTGAAAATGTCAAATTTTCCTAGCTTAAACGGGCGGAAATGGACGGTACCCGTTCGCACCTTCGATGGCCACATTTTTCAGAGAATCAGAATTTCCATAACACGCTACATAGTAGAAGTTATATGTTACTAACTTTGTTGTTTTTTTATGAATTTTTATAAAAATATTAAAATTGAATTGAAATATGAACGACATATTGGATTTTTACGGAACCAGATAGAGAACAAAAAAAGAAAAATAGTGACATCCGACTGGTAAATGGATCAAAGCCATGTTGATATAAATAAATAAATAAATAAATAAACAGACTGTTCCTAGGGCAATCGAAAACAACATTTGACATATTCAGTTTTTCGGTGGTATCAGTTATTTTCAAGAATTTTTCAAAAATTTTAAATGCTATTTTTAGTGACAAAAGGGGAAACTTTGCCCCATAACCTGTACTGTATCTCTCACCATTACGGAGATCCCAATGGTGAACCATGAACTCTGTACATACGGTACGTACGTACATACACAGAGATGGAAAAAAATTGATTCTTCAAAAGTTGCTAAAAATTATTTAAAATATTTGATGAAATTTGACATATCGAATGTCGCAATAGCCGCCTAGACCTAGCTCAAGCTAGGAGTCGAAACATCAAAAACCATATCTTCAGTCAAGAATAGTATATTGCAGGGTATATTGTTTACCAAGGGCGAGAAGTGAGTGACAACGACAAGTCGGAAGTTTCATGTACGGGTACGAGCCGCCTTTAGGCGCCGAGTACGGAAATTCGGAATTCCCACGTGTCAGCAGATCTCAATTAGCTGTCTGCGATATATAATTGCCATTAATAATTTCATATAGTAGGTGTTTTCTTTTCATTTTCCGTAATAATGGTGGCAGCAAATAACAGACAATTACCAATTTAATGAGAAAAGGTTTCCCTTAATTGAATGTCCAAGACATTCGACTTAATTAAGCAGACAGCTCCGTGCTCCTTGAAATCGGGGTTCGCATTTTTCATACTTAAGAAGTAATAAAAAAGAGAAGAAAAGGACTGTACGACTGAGTAAAATATACAGAAGATTGTTTTTGTTGCCAAAACGTAGTACCGCTGTGCGGCTTTGCGTCATAACAACATTCGGCACGATATGATTAGACAGGCTGGATGGCGTCAAGCGGCAGGGATCAATAAGAGGTAACTACATGAATGAATTATTGAATGGGTTTTGTTCGACAAGGCCTTGTGCGTAAACGGCCTTTATAAAATTGGCAAGTGCTCTCATGATCGCAGCAGCCGAATCGTGGCAATCGCCATTTCACATTCATTAGAGAAAACAAAAAGTTATGCACACTTTTAATCTAAAGAAAAAATTACGGCCCCAGGGAGCAACATAACTTTTATTAAAGGACGGCACGCAATATTGAATCCATTTTTAATCGACTAACATAAAAATGTCGTGCTGAAACTGAGCCGGGGCATAAAACAGAAGAAAATCCTAAATAAAATAAACACAATTAAGGGGCATTTCTTGAAAGTGCACACTTAAACTTTGGGGAGGTTTCTCTCCGAAGAGTTAATATTCTATTAGTCAGAAAAAAAATCGTGACTTTGTAACCACAAAAATCTTAAAAAGTTTGGAGAATATTAAAAAAAATGGAATATGTGGAGGTATCATTGCTCAACTGGCCTTGCAGCGCAACACCTTAAATCAATATTGATCATCTCACGCGACAGAAATTATTTATAGCCCACTTAAAATTGTAGGAATAACGGAAATTTTATGGACACTTTCCACAGTGAAGGGAAGTACATGGCTGTGACTTGCATTGGATCGATTAGGTTTATTAAAAATTAAAGCGGGAAAATTTTTAACGCTTAGCAGACTGGACTTCCTGGTCGTAAAATACATTTTAAACTTCGACTGTAGGTGCGCCTAGCGAACATGTAATATGTCAGTATGAATCAAACAATTTTAAGGAGGCCATCAAAAAAACAGTCAAAACATAAAACGCTTATAGCCCCCGCCGCCCGCCCCCTTCCAAATCGAGAAATATGGACAAACTTTGTGCGATGATTAGTAAACGTCTATTACCGCAATTTTCTCTTTAAACATATGTTAAAACTAGCGTGTAAACGTATATCATACGTCTGTTGAGCAGTCCAATCTATTTTTATGCAATTTTGCAAATTTTGACAACATAACAAACAAATATGAACGTGTGCTATCAATTTGGAAATGATATTGGAGAGAAAATAATAGGGTTTTTCGTGTCTATTCGCTTGGTAGGATATTATATCATGTAATGTTCCAAAAATGGCTAAAAACATGATTGGCAAACGTCTGTCAATATGAAATATCAAACGTATTATATAATAAATAATATAATAAGTGCATTAAGGGCAGATGTTTATTAATAAACTTTTGTTCATAAGCAGATTTTAAACAAATTAAAACTATTTCTCAATAGGTAGGTACCCAATTTAAATTTATGCAATTTTTATTTTGCTTTTTAGATTCCCTATTCTATTCAACCCACCCAAATCGCCTTTTTTTTACATTTTTATAACTTCCCAGATTTTTTACTTTGAATTTCAAAATTTTTATGCTAAATTTTACATTTTGAGTATTTGAATTTTTTATTTTACTTTTTAAATTTCAAATAGAGATTAAGAAATACATAGTATGCAAATTAGAAAGTCATAGGTACTTGATCTTTTTTAAATTTTGGGTTTCATTTTGGAATTAGAGAGCCATTAATTTTAGTTTGTAAAAGCGCCCAGAACACCGGTAGAAGCGGAAAAGCGAATGCTAACCCAAAAAACGTTGGCTCTTTTTCCCAATTATTTGGATGCGGGGCAAAAAAATCTTTCTTTCGCATTTCATAATGTTACACTTTTATTCTGCTTATAATACGAATTAGCGCATACATAAAAATCAGTTGTGCATGTGCCTACCAAACTTTATTAGCTGTGGGTTGATTTTTCAAATATTTTAACCAAAAACGAATTTGGCTGAGGTAACTAATTTTCTCGCAAAAAAACGGTTTATGTGGAAATGCGCTTTTTGTAATTATCTTGATGCTTTTTGCAATAGATTGCAACAGAAGAACTTGAGATTGGAGTGGGATCAAAACTTCAAATGCGAATATCTCGGGAACAGAGCATTGGCAGATTTCATGCGATTATTTATTGGAAAGCTCTGGCCGAGTCGGATTAAATTTCGTTTAACCGTAATGATATGTAGACAATTTATTCTTGTTTTGTTAATGTTGGTGTGCTTGTATCATGGAGAAATTAAAATTGAAAATTTACTTAGCATGAGCACAATTTTATTTTGAATTCTTAATTTTGAAATTTTAACCTTTCATTTCAGCTTTTATTAAATTTTTCTTTTCTGAATCTCACATTCCAAATGAAACAAAAGAATTAATCCCAATTCTAGCCGAATTCTTTGTTTTCATTACTTTGAATTTTGTATTCGGCATTTAAACCTTTCAAAACTGATTACAAAATTTATCATCGCATTTTCAAACACGCATCTTACAATTTTAAATTCCAAAGTGTTTAAACTTTGCTTTTAAATTTTGCATCTTGGAAATTTGAAACCCTGCAATGTGATATTTTGCGTATCTAATAATTTCACATTTTTAGATCTCAATTTGTAACTTTCGAACTGTTTACATTTTGGAATAGGAATTTCACATACTCAACTTTTAATTTTAACCCCCCGTCCCCTCCTCTCAAACTTATATCTATTTAAAACGAAATGTACAAATACATTACATATTTTAAAATTTTGCATTTCTAACTTATTATTAACATTTTGATTCTGCAGTTTCAATTTTGAATGTACCTATCACTTCTGTTCCATCTTACAAGTTACACTTGAGTTTTCCGTAACGTCACATTTCCACAAAATTTTGATTTTCCACTTCACATTGATATTGGATATTGCATGTGCCATATTGCATTGTCAATAGTAAAATTTAAAATGAAAAATTAAAACCATACTGAATTACTAATTGTTGTATTTTGAGTTGAGAAATTTATTTTTTTTAAATTAGCATTCTTTACGTATATCTGTGGCATTAGCATGCAACTTTCAGTCGTATTTTTAATTTATTAGGGATCGTCAGACCCTTTATAGTGTCGTAGTGTTGTCTGTCCACCCGTGTGTGCTCTTTTTGGGTCAAACTTAAAATGATAAAATCAAAATTTTAAAATATTCGCCCGCTTAAGAAATGGGGGAAATCCAAAAATTGTCAATTTCAAAATTAACATATGTATTTTCATAGTAAAAAAGTTTATTTATAATCATTGTTGAATAACCTGGCGATTCCAAAATAAGTACATACGGGGTCGGGTAAAAAATATCAGACCTGAGCCCATTTTTTAAATAGAACACCTTGTATTTTTAATCTTAAAAGATAGCGTATTAAATTCTCTTGTCAAAAACACAAAAAAAATTAAAAACAATCATTATTGATTCAAAAAAAGATTTTAAGCATTTCAAAAAATTTGTGAGTCATTTGAACCCTGTTTTAATTTTTTTAATCTTTTAAAATCTTTTTTGAATTTATTTGAATCATTTAAATCTTTTTTTAATGTCATCCCTGGTGTGTTCTATTTTATATATTTTAAAAAAGAATACAATGAATGTGCTATCTTTTTAGTAACATTTTTACGTAGGTATACATACTTAATTTAAAAACGGCGGGTTATCCAACAATAATTATAAAGAACCTTTTGTACATTATTCTGTATCTCTTTTAACTAAGAAAATGCAGTCATTCGGAAATTGACAATTTTTTGAATATTTGCAAATTATGATTTAACGATCTTTAAGTTTGACCCAAAAAGAGCACATGACGATATTACTTTTTTTAATAGCACTAACAATTACGGAGACACCCTATCAAAGTGCCGAAAATGGGGCATCCGGTATCTCAAATTTTAAGGTCGCCCCACCCACGCGACAAGAAAGATATTTGGAAATAACCCATAGGCATTATCTCGGCGGTCAAGACAAGCAGTTATTTGTTCCCATACTGTAAGTTCAATTGTTTACTTTTTTTTTGCAGAAATGGGGATTATGGAATGGATCATAATAACAATAACCTTTTGTGTACAGTTTTAAGTGGAAAAACTTCCCATCTCCGCCATTGATTTTGGTACATTTGATCGCAACAGCATCCTATGCTGTTCCACATGCATCCATTCTAAATGTATCCAGGGTAGTCATCAAACATTAATCAAATAATTCAATTGCGATAGGTAGTAGTAATAACATTACTCAAAACAAAAACAGAGCAGGATGGAAAACAAACTCTTTCACACCAACCATGTCAGAAACGTGACAAAAAAACTCGTGCCATAGTAAATCTCACATCACTAATTATCCTAATGCATTGAACAATCTTTCGCAAGATAAATAAGGAAATAAATGAATCAAAACGACTAAAGGCGCGAATAGACTGCCAAATTTTCTCACGCAATTGCTGTCTGACAGCAGGGGCAGCACAAGTCAACTTGCGACGATTATCGCGGAAGCAACTTGTGACAGTAAAACTTGCTAGTCGAAACGTATATCTACGAGATCTCAGGCGAAGTTTTCTCACAAATTCAGATCGATTTTGAAATTTCGAGCCTGAGTGAAATTGTCACTCGACAGTTAGTAGTGGTATCAGAGAGCAATTTGCGTGAGAAAACTTGCCATTCGACTCGCGCCTATCCACAGCGAGTTATTCATCGAAAGTAAATACCATCTTTCTTCAAATGGATACAAAGAAGTGAGAAAATGGTAGATGATCGAAGGGCAAGGTTAAGACCTTGGTAGGATACGACAAAAATTAACAAAAGTAAACAATAAAGCGAAATAAACACAAAATTTATTGCTGTCTTTATTACTAGTATACAAGCTAAAAAGCACCAAACAAAAATAAAACTTATGTAAATGAAAGGTCCGAAATGACGAATAAAGATACTTACACACAAACTTGACTTTCTTTGGCTGATGTGTCCGCGGTTTCGTTTTAACTTTTCCAATAGAGGCCTGTCTTCTATGTACTGAAAAAACATTTAGAAACTTTTGGATCGAACGAAGTTTGGTTGCTTTGCTTCTTTACGTAAAATCCCAAAGTAATAATCTATTTCGAAAATTCACATGAATTAACGCATCTATCCCCTCCCCAACCGGTGGAAATCCGCACCCGATCCTCAATTCAATTTTCCAACCCCGGCAACAAAGACGCCGATGAGTCACCTCATATTGACGAGGAAATTCCGTATGGAACTAACGTGTACCTACCTACGTGTATCCCGTTTCGTTAATCCGGGAAGGACTTTCACAGTAGCAATATTGGCGTCTACGGCTCAGACGGTCATTGATTATTGACAGTCTAGGATGGTTTCCACGCGTCTTATGCTTTGGGGTTGGAATCGTACTAATAAAAGGGGGACCAATAGAACGAATTTGTGAAGGGGTTAGAAAATGCTTCAATCTATCGTCTTTAATGAGACTTTAGGCAAGACGACATAATCAATACACTACAAATTTGGAAAATCATGCGGCATTTTAAATCGTGAAAATTGAGCACGTATTTAATTTGACGCAGTGGGATAAAGAAATACATTAAAGAAGCAAAACGGCAATCTTTTTAATAGAGCTGCATTAGAGAAGTTTGAAATACTTACCAGCAGGTGGTAGCGGTGCTCTGCAGGTATGGCAGAAGCACTGCATTACAGATTCTCTGACCAGTCCGATAATCATTTTTGATCTCTTTCAATTTCACTAAACGGAATAAATGGCAGTGATGAAAATATGGTATGTTGTCGGCGGAACGGCGAGAGTTCCAAAAAGGTACTTGCGATGGAACCGGCAGAACGCGAACACTCACTGTAGCAGGTGTGGTGACGGTCAGCTTTTGCGGCGTCGCGCACCACGCGATCGATAATACGGCGACGCCGCCGCCGCCACCATCGACGACGAGACGCCAACGGTCTCCATATGCATTCACAATGTACATCCTTAGGGAACGCTGAGTAACAAATTAAAACTTCCCTTAAATGAAACTCGAGATAATTAACGGAAGCACTACCTCTACATATTTAACCGCAGTTTCACCTTTCGGTGGGCATACCTCGAGGGCTGACAGAAAGCGAAATTGATCCGTTACGGCTTTCAATTTAATTAAGAGTTAATGAAGGGTAACAAACCGGAAAACTTGACTACCGCTTGTGTATATTATCAACATACTAACCTTGTGAAGTAAAGCAGAGATGTAAAAATAGACTAAGGGTTAGAGACACACCCTGACCTTACGCAGGCCACCAACCTGTCAAGGACGTTCAAAGATGGGTTACCTATACTTTCCTTTCGAAATGCGAGATTTACAGCTTCGATCCTTTGTTGTTTTAGATTTAGACCATCACGCATTTTCGAATAAAATGAATGTCCGCAAAGGTAATAATTGAACAAAGGGGTGTGTAATTCGTCTAATTTTATGCTTATTAGTGATGAGCAGATGAAAATTGACTGTGCGTAAAATGAGGGCAATCAAACGGTCTTTCGAACACATAGACCGAGGATTTTTAGACTAAATTAGAAATGTTACGAAAAGTGAAAATCGACTCGATTGGAAAGATGACCTTTGTTTAAATTGTTGACTTGCACTTGTGGTTTTTGTAACCTTGGGATAATAAGATTTTTTGGGCCTTTTGATTAATTTTCCTATCCCGACTACAACCAAACTAGAAAAATAAGACCAAATAACAATAAAACGTTCTTGCCTATTTTGTTTACAAGGGTCCCAAAACTTACACTAGACGAAGGAGTTTTTTTTTCAAACACAAAATCTCTATCTCCTCTAACTTAGGTACAAGTTAGAAGGCGCTATGGCCACTTCGTCCGTCCGAGGCCTTATCTACTCCGACACTTTTCAAGATATGTAGTTCGTTCTTTTTGCATTTGGTAGCTTATAGCATTGTTTAAATACTGCATATAGCTCTAATACCCGTGCGGCGCAGTTCAGTTAAAGCTGGACTGCGGTGCTAAGGGTTCCTGGTTCGAATCCGGGTTCGGGCATGGATATTTGTAAATGTATAGTGGGTTGGGTTGGTAGAGCAGCCTTGGCTGAAACCCCGCCCACTCAAAAATAAAGGCAAAATAAAATAAAATAATAAAATACCTCAACCAAGGGAAATCTTGACCATTAAAGTACGCAATGTCATTTTTCTTTTTTTTTCTGAAGATATTTTGTGAAATTTTAACCACAGATGCTTCTAGTAAAGGCAAGCATATCGTATATTGTAAAAATCAGACGTGTGCAATGTCAACTTTCTTATTTGTAGATATTTTTTTGAAATTTTAATCAAACATTCCTCTAGTAAAAACAAGCATATCGCATATTGGAAAAATCAGATGTGCGTATTGCGCAATGTCAATTTCCTTATTTGTATTTTTTTTTTAATTTTAACCAAAGATTCTTCGAAGCAAATATATCGCATATTTTAAACTTCCGGTGTGTGCTAAGTTTATTATTGGCTTCCCTAATTATTTTAGAAATAAAGCTAAGATTGTTTGATGTCAAACTACCATGGCACCACTGATTTTCTTAAAAGCGCCAGTTTTTAGTTATCCAATTTCTGGGTTTTAAAGTTCAAAAAATTAAAAGCTTTAGTACGCACGGATTCGTAATTTTTTTTTCTACAACAGAACCTAAATTTGCTTACGGAATAACTCTGTGAAAGTCAACCTCTTCAGGAAAATAAAGACTTCAAATTCAAATTCTTATGCAAAATCCCCAAAAAACGGCCCTCCTATTTTAAACAAAAATTCATTTCTCCTTTGGAAGCCAGAAGCAATTTAAAAAATTGGATAGTGGAACGTCTTAGGCAATACAAATGAATTAATTGCCATTAACCTTTTTACCGGTAGGTAGCCGTTTTGTTCGTAAATTTGTTGTACTTATTATTTAAAAAATGAATGCACATCTTTGATTAATAAGTATCCGCCCAACAAATATAGCTCAACGGAATGTTTTTCCACCTTAGACCCAAACGCGTTCGTATTAGCAATTAATTTAAACGCGAAACATCGCAACCAAATATATAGCGAAACGAGAAAAAGTTTTAGAGAACTGTGTTGATATCTTGATTATAAATAGATACAGGGTGTTTAAAGGCTAAAATCAACAACTGAATTTCAAAACACTTTTTTAATTATATTGGTAGTTGCCCATGACTCATCATGGCGGCGAAAAAAAAGCAATCGAGCACTAAAGAAATGATCAGCCATGGCCAATCAACTAAACTTTTTAACAGCATTTTTACAATAGACGAGCACTTTGCACTTTATTTCAACTACTACTGCCACCATTCCACATTTTATACTTTGAGAAACGCACATACCAATTGTAAAAGATACCACAAATGAAGTACATGCAACAATTAATGAAAGTAAAAAAAAAACACATCAAATATGAATATGGCACAAATTTCTTCGTATACCGTGTGGCGAGTAGGTACTTACTTTCACTGACGGTGGTAACAGTTGATGATTCAGTGATAATATCAGCCATCTCGGAAAAACGGAATCTGAAAATAAAAATGAATTAAAATACCTAATTCCCGAGCTAATTCCTATCGATAGCAAGAAGCAAAATAACTTTAAATTTAGGTAAAGCTGAGCCCCTCCCCCTCAACTCAAAAGAAGTGCCAATCCGATTAATTTTCAACATAGGTAGCTGCGTATTTATTAACTACAAGTTAGTGGAAACCAAAAATTGTAAGTAGATTAAGAATCATGAGATTAATTTTAGTTTTGTATTGCTGTCCGCCCGTCCGACTCTTAAGACAAGGAAATGTCCGACTTAAGACATTAGGACAGGATGGTATTGATTTTTAGGTGCTTAGGTCAACAGGAAGTTTAAGTGAATGGCGAACGGAAAACATTAATTGCTGAAATACAAATTGATACATTTCATTCCCTAAGTCATGTGTCTAATTCGAACTTTCGCCAAATTATTCCCTAGATGTGTAACAATTAATACAGGCTCCTCTCTGTGGTCTACCAAAAGTTTTGGAGAGAAATGTGCCAAAAATTGTTATTGACACAATTTGGGGTTGGTTTTTCTGGAGACCACGTCTATTTTGATGAAGATATTTCAAAATGATTATTTATGCATGATAGTTGTTGGAAACAACACCAATGGCTTGAATTTGATGAACTTTTTAAGACCACAGGTATTTTGATCAAAACATACGAGTATCAAGGTCGCAGGGAACAAAATTGAAGGATATACATACTTGATGCATTTTTGGTGTCCAAGTCTGTTTCGAAATTATGGTTTCCCATCAAATTACTCATACATTTGAATATAGTTTACACTATATAGCTAGTCTATAAACTAGTAACTTTATCCGTAACATACACAAATCTTTTATCCCTATAACGGTTAATTTTTACTGAGAAGTGTGCTACTGATCTGAAATTCTGGTAAAAGGATCATGGTTCCTGAACACGACAAAATAATTCTACCCAGTATAGGGTTGCCAGATAATAATTTGATAAAGGAGGGCATATGAGTCTAAAAAGGAGGATTTTCTGTAAAAAAGGAGGACATTCAGAAATTAAACGAATTTTTTAGAATATTTTACTTTATTTTAATCATATTTAGCTGAGCTGCCAATTTTGGAAAGAAGTTCTTGGTTTTTTAACAAATAATTGTAAAAATCTTCACATGTCATGTTTTTGAAGTTGTATTGAGTAAGAATTAAAGATTTAACTGATTGCACACTTAGTCTATTCTTCTCTTTGCTCCACTGAGTATTAATTAGGGAAAAAACTCGTTCCACATTTGCATTATGTGCGCTTACACAAAAATAAAACTCGCAGATCTTGAGCAGTTCTGAGAAACATTCTATGTTTTTAACACTTTTGAAGTAGATTGTCCACTGCTCGTGCAACTTCAAATCATAATATGCTTCATCTTCATTTGATTTTGATTTAAGAAATGAAATCAAGTTACAAAATTGATCGTGTAGCTTAACATCGTCAATCTGCGGAGCGGTGACTCACGCGCTCACCCGCCCTGTTCCCTTTTTCGCGTCACTCCAGTAGTGCAGTCCGGCCCGACGTTTAGCAAAAAAGGAGGACTTAGAGTAGGTAAGGGAGGACGGGAGGGCAAAGCATGGAAAAGGAGGACATGTCCTCCTTTTGGATACCATCTGGCAACCCTAACCCAGTACCAATATGACACGTATTGAACAAAGTTGTGCACATACCCCACGCATGGTAAAATATCCCTTTAGCATAGATCAAAGTGGTCACAGTATCGCCGAAACAAATTGTTTATTTTCCTATCGTGTTTTAGTTTTGCAGTAAATTTCGGGAGAGAGAATTTGATTAGTAGACTAATAAAGCTAAAATAACGTGTTTGTTTACATTTTAAAAGAGCGCATAATTATGAAACGAGTACAGTATAAGCTAATTACAAAGAGCTCTTTATACAAAGTATAAACAAAGAGTACTCTTTGGTATAAACCATGAGTCATACTCCACTGACTAACCGCAATTGAACAGTCCTCAAACCGCACATATCGCTTTTCATTCTTTTCTCTCGTCTTTTCTTTTAGTTTTATGTTGACGTTAGCACTCCCGCCGATGGAGTTTGGTTTGTAATTAAATTAATTAGCCATTATTTATTTTCGGCGATTAAATTGGCGACGAGATTGAAGACAAACTTTGTCAAGATGTTCGTGTAACCGCCTGCTACTTAAAACTACTGATTCTCGCAAAATTGTTAGGGGAATTTTAAAACAAGTATAAATAGTGCCCAACTCTTGTGCAGATAAGTGCATTTTTTTAAACCGAAATAGCTTTTGTTTTTACATCACCAATGGATATATTTCTGGCAGACGTCTCAATCGCCCTTTGTGAGTACCCTCTTCCGACAATCCGTTCTTGAGGTATGAAG